AATAACATACTAAGTGTTTACCGGTCCAAACTCGCTTTCGCTCGTCAACCCATGGAACAGCAAAAGCAGTTCTTTCCTAATTGCTTTCTTGCTCACTAGATACTAAAACATAATAGTCAACCATTCTTGTTTAAGCAATATGCCCGTACATAGACAAACATTCTTGTTTAAGCAATATACTCTTACATAGACAAGCATTTTGTTTTAAGCAATATGCTCGTTTATAGACAAGCATTCTTGTTAAAGCAATGTACTCGTCCATAGACAAGCATTCTTGTTTAAGCAATATACTCGTACATAGACAAGTATTCTGTTTTAAGCAATATGCTCGTGCATAGACAAGCATTCTTGTTTAAGCAATATGCTCGTACGTAGACAAGCGTTCTTGTTTAAGCAATATGCTTGTACATCGACCAAAAACGTCTGGCAATACAATGCTACTTTGACAGTGAACTATAAAGTTCAAAATTATTGAAAGTATAGCCAAACAAGCTATAGTTAAAATTAACATCGATATTTCATTTTTGTTCTAATATATTAAAAAAATATGTTGAACTTGTCGAGTAAAAAGAGTGAAGTATTACTTATTTTCTCTAAACAAATAAAGATAGAACAATAAACCATAAAAGTTTATCTCAGTTGCATGTTTTTCCTTTACAACTGAAACATGGTCGATATCAGAAATGAAAATATTTCACTATATGTTAATCAAATGTCTTTATGGTTATTTGTCAATAAATAAATAATAATTAATAGTTTGACTCTGATAATTAGCATTTGCTGCTCATGTATATTTTTTTAGCAATCGTTATCTCATTTCTAATTGTAAAAGTCATAATTTTCATTGTTTATTTATTTTACATTTTGCTAAAATGAGTCATGCAAGTGATAAGAAATAATACATGTATATTTCTTTTCCTAATTACGCATATTTCGGCCATCTGTATTTTGATAGGTTGTAGTTTCAAGTAAAGAAAATTATTACACATCTATACACATTTATGCTTGAAAAAATTGACAAAATATTGTCATTTCTATCCGTTGTCAAAGGAAAACAAAGATGATGAAAACTGGATTACGCCATCAACTCCTAACTTCTTTAGTTCCAATAATAACATATTATTTTTATTTTATGAATTATTTACAACCTCTTTTTCTTCTTTTTTTTCGTTAAAACTCAGAAAAGTTCTTTCTAAAAAACGTACATCTTCCTCTATTTTTTAGCCCTGGCTTTATATAAATGAACCCATGCTTTTATGTTTCTCCAAGACTCTTATCATGAAGTTGAAGTCAAAATAGTTCATTCTATTGATAAGGTATTTAAACATCGTATAGAAATGAAAACGTTAAATTTTTAAAAAAATGATAACTTTATTTTTATCACATATTTTTAATTCTATATATAGGTAATAATTTATTAACCAAAAAATTTTTTTTCTTTTATTTTTCTTTAATTTTATATTGGACATTAAGATTAAATGGTAAATTTTATGAACGAGATAATTAAAAATAGGAGAGAAATAAAAACATTTAAATCAAATTAATTTCTAATTTTATTTTTCTTTATTACTCTTATCTTGAAGATTAAATCAAAATGGAACATTGTGTGGATAAAGCATTTAAAATTTGGAGAGAAATAATACATTTAATTTAAAAAAAATACTATATAAAACTATGTTTTGTTTGCTATACTTTGTAACTTATACTGGTCAAGCCTATATGTTCAGGATTAAATCATCATAATTCTTGATTGCAAAATACCTACGTTTTGTATCTGGAATTTTTAGTCAAAGAATTTCAAACCATAATATTCTCTAGATTGCTCATAAACAACTTTCTGCAGGGTTAATTACACAAAACAGTTAAATTAGTACATGAGCATGCCATACTTCAAAACTAATATTAGAAATGAGAAGGATCAACAACAAAATCCTTCATATTTACTTAATTTCGAATGAAAGAATACCTTCCATTTTGTTTAAGAATTAGATTCCATTTGAAAACAAATGGAATAGAAATAATTCTAAAAACGGGAATTACAGTTAAACAAACATTTAGACGAAAAGCGCCGTATATTATCATAAAAGGTGTTTCACATATCATACAAAACTCATTATTATTTCCAAATTTAATGGACGTTTTAGCATTTTTGAACAAAGAGAGAGAAAAGCAATTCGAACACTGGGAAGGGGGGGTTGGCTAATGAATTTTATAAATAAATAACGACAACGAAGCGGGATAGAATCTTTGTTCCATTAGTTTTCTAGAATATTTTGAAGAAACAGAGAGCAAAAGTTTTAATAACGTAAACAAATTACTTATTTATTCAGTAAAAGACGTTTTCCAACGCCATGGAGAGAGATGAAATTAATTAGAGAGAATGCTAAAGCAGCTCAGTTTTGATATTCCAGAAAGAGAAATAAGTTTTAATATATGTTAGATAAAAGGGAATTATTGTGGACGCAAGACACGGAATAATAATTTGTTCGCAAGATTATAAAAGAGTTAATTATGGCGTTTGATGTAAAAATAATGCATTAGCATCAATATTATATCCTAGAATATCTTAGTAACATTTGAAGTTTTTTTCTTTTTGGATTCGGGAAATATTTTTGAGAGAAATTCTCTTAAATGTTGTATCAAGATACAAAAAATTATAATGTATGATACTATTGAAATAAGAAAATACTTTTATATGTTTTTATTTAAGTAAAATAGTATCATACATGGTCAAAAAGTATCAAGAGGTGTAGTCATATATGGAGATGAAATTAATTAGAGAAGGGTAAAGCAGCTTAGTTTTGATACTTAGAAAATGAAATAAATTATAATACATGTTGAAAAAAGGAATTATTGTGAAAACAAAGCAAGGAATAATTATTTGTTCGCAAGATTATAAAAGTTAATTATAGTATTTGATTATATTCTCTTCTAGAAATAATGCATCAGCATTAATATAATATCCCAGAATACCTTAAATATTTGAAGTATTTTTTTAGATTAATGAAATGCTTTTGAGTAAAACTATCGTAATAAATATGAATACAAATATATTTAAAATATAAAAAATTAATTTCATCAAAATGCAAAAATATGTGATACTATTTAAATAAATAAAAAATTCTGTTAAATTTTATCATGCAGTTTAAAATAGTATCATGCATGGACAGTGATGAAATGGTATTTCTTAAAGAGGTATTGCATTTTCTTAGAAGGTATAATATCATTTTTAGAAATAAAATTGATTATATAATGCTAAAGCGGCCCAGTTTCGATGTTTAGGAAGAGAAATAACTTTTTACACATGTTATCTATAAGAAAATTATTATGAAAGCAAGACACAGAGTAATAATTTTTTCGCAAGATTATATGAGTTAGTTACAGCGTTTGATGTTATCCTCTGGTGGAAATAATATGTTAACATCAATATAATATCCTAGAATATCTTAATAAACATTTGACGTATTTTTATGAAATATTTTTTATTAAAACTATTTTATGTAATTACATTCAAAGCATTAAAAGTTAATTACATCAAACTGCAAAAAAATTTATCCTTTTCAAATCAAAAAATACTTTTCATGATTCCATTTTCTGTTAAATCGCATCATGCATTGTTAAATAGTATCATGCATTCTTAAACAGTATCATGCATTTTAAAATCTTAGCCACTCCGAAACATTTGGCAATATTTTATACTTTTTAGAAAACTGCATTTGAAAATAGTATCAAGATACAAAATTAGAAAATAAATAAAAATTGTGTTCATTCTCCACTGTGTATAATCCCGTTATACACTGTAACTAAATCCGGATCAAATTACAGTAAAATGTTCTGGCACCTTGAGTGCAGCATTTTACAGTAAAAATTCATACCGTAATTTTTACAGTAATATTTATTTAATTACTGTAATTCAGGATTTTACAGTTATTTCTGTAAAATAATTGACTTTTTTATCATTCAGTAAAACTTTACGGTAAGAAGTGTACTAGCTCCCTGAGTGCAGATAATTTTTTCTGTAATTTGATCCAGAATTAAATTTTTTACAGTGTACCACCAATTGATCACTTGCCTTCTAGTTTTGATGTTGTTGTTGTTGTTGTTAATTTACGTCGCACTAGAGCTGCACAATGGGCTATTGGCGACCTTCATTTCTAATTTTGAATACATTCTATTATGAATTTACTTCAGAAAATTCTGGAGTAGAGTTTCTGGAGCCCTTGATTCTAATAAAATTTAACTCATACTAGATGAGATAGAATTACACATAAATTGTCACATTTTTTTAAAAAATATTCCAATGCATTTTGCACGATTGTAAATTTCTTATATCTTAAAAAATAATAGCAGTCGCTGACGAAAAAAAAAAGTTCGAACATTTTTGGGTTTGCTCTCAAAAAACGGGGTGGCGTTGAAAAATATGATGAAACTGCCGGAATTGAAAAGAAAAATGAAATTGTCGTCGGCGGAGCGAAAAAAGTGCTGAAATTTCGCTGACTAACTGTTTTTAACAAACACTATGACCATCTGTATTGAATTCTCTTTTCCATTCCTTTATTGCTCCATATCGGAGGAAAAGATATGGAATTTTTCTTTTTTATCTATTTGTTCTTTCCTTTTTTTTTCTTCCCTTTTTTACTCCCCTATAAATTATTAATTTTTTGTAAAATTCAAGATGGTACTTTTCAGTTATGAAAGTAATAAGAATGAAACTAAAATATTTTGCTGTTACCTCTGATCTTCTTACAACTTAGTTTTACAACTTTAATCAAATGCAAATTGTTCTACTACTAATAATAAATGTACTATTTTACAATCTAATGGACTTAATAAAATTTTCTGGGCTAAAAATGAAAGAATGGGAATTTGTTAATGTTAAGAGCAGTTTGAAATAACTTGAAACAAATTATCTTGAATTCTAAAATATCTATTATTTGCTGATTGATTGTCTTTCTATTGTTAGCATCAATTAAATGTAATTGTTTTTATCTTTTTTACAGACGTTCCATACTCCAAGTTTCGGGGACGAAGAGTTTGAAATTCCACCATTAAGCTACGCACCAACTGCTGCTGCAACTAGGTGTAGCGGTCAGGGGGTTTTCGGAAATCAGGTACCCTGTATTTATATTTCAGCTATAATTTAGGTTTATAACAGTTTGGTTAAAATGATTTTTTAATAAAAAATGGAAATTTTATTTTCTGCTGTAACTTTTACACGATTAAACGCATATTTGATCTATCTTCAAGGAATAGCAACTTTTTTTTTTTTAATTCTTCATTTAAAAAAAATTCATGAAAAAAATGAGCATTAAATTTTTCAGTATTAGGAAAACATAAAGGATGTTAAGAATTTATTCTATAAAAAAGTTTAATAACTAGTTTTATGGTTGGTAGTTGTCATTCTTCAAAATTATTCCTTACAACAAATTAATTTGGATTTTTAAAGCAGAGTACAGTTATTTTTCTGAACTACTTTTTTTTCTTCGTTTTATAATATTTTTCCTCGTTATAAAATTATTAAAAATGTTTTTCTATGTAAGTATTTTGTGTTATCCTACAGATTATATTTTGTATTTTAAGTTTTATTATGTTTGTTTTTATTAAGTTTACGTTTTGTATAATCATTTCAATTAACGAGAGTTTTAATATTGTCACCTCATTTTATTTTTCAATAAAAAGAAAACATTCTTTTAAACTTATGAGGCAAACTTTATCGATAGGAAAAACTTTTTATCATATCAGTAATTTTTTTGAAAAAATAGTCTTTATTTTTGCGCAACATTTAAAATTATAATACAAAGTAGTTTTAACCCAAAAGTGTTAAATGTTATTTAAATGTATTTTTCTTTAATGTAAATACATTTTTTAAATAATTTTAGAATCTTTTATACAAAATGTAGACAATTTTAAAATTGTTTGCTAAAAAGAAAAGAAAATCTGTAAACGATTCTAAATTTTAAATTTTTTTTTAATCGTTTTCTAATTTTGAAGATTCATTAAAAAAAAATGCTGAATTGAGTGTTCTATCACAATTCTGAATAAATGATTCCTTTCGATGTACCATCAAGAAATACAAAATTGATTTTTCAAAAAAACATTTTTTCTCCCCCTTGTTATAGTGAACATTTCAACACTTCTTTTTGAATTTACAGTTATTGATTTTTTTATTAATTCTTAAAATCATTTTTGAAAAAAATTTCTTAATTTTCTCTTTCAAGAGTCAAAATTTTCAAATTGAAAAAAAAAATTTCTTTAATGTACCTGATAACGAAAGAAACAAAAAAAAATATTTGAAAATCAATTCAGTATTATCTAAATTAAAATAAAAAATCAAAGTTTGTCATGTTACCATGGCAAAATATGATACTTGATTGTCTTTAATTAAACAAACATGTGTTTTAAATAATAAAACATACTTGTTCATCGATACTTGTTTAATATATAAAGTATGAATTCTTCTTTTTTACAAAAAAAAAAAAATAATATAAAAATTTTACTTATTACTTTAACATTCGAGTACAATTGTGTATTGAAATTAAAATTCCATGTTCAAATTACAATTGTGGAAATTAATTATGTGTTTCAAATACAATGTATATTGTTTTATTTTTATTTGTAATTGCATTTACGAGTCAGATATCATACCTTTTTATGTAATCCAAACGATTTGAAGATATTATTGTAATCATTATTACATTTTTCCTGTCTCTTTTTAGACTTGCATCTGTTATTTAATCTAATCTTGGTTTAAATGAATTCTTCTTTTCTAAAAAAATGTTTTTTTCTTTTCTTCATCAAGATTCCTGTGGAATACCTCAAACGAAAACTGAGCTGCGATCAAATTTGTGTGTACTTGCCTAGACAAGAAGAAAATTATTCAGACTGTCAAATTTACAATCAACACGTACGTAAGACTTCCATAACTATTGTATCTACTTTTCACTCTTTTTTAGTTCTAATGTAGAGATTTTCAACCGCGTGCCACGCATTGCCCAACATTGACATTTTGTTGGTCCTCCGAAATACCTGAGTCAGTAAAACACGATAGTTTAAAAATAAAATAAAAAGGCTGTTAAACGATTATTATTTAAAGTCGTGGCTTATACTTAGAAAAAATATCGATGCTTTAATCGATGTGATGATTTGTTAAAATCAGAAGGAACAAACAATTAAGTTTCGCCATGACAGCTATTCTTTCAAACGATTTTCAAAATAATGAGCTTTAATGCATACTGTTTTGAAGCAAATTAAGTAAAAAGTAAAATAAGGACTTACAGTGGCGATCCAGCGGGGGGAGGTCATAGGGGTTATGACCCCCCCCCCCCAAATTGAAAAATATATATAAAAATAATAATTTTTTTAACAGTTTACAAATGAAATGAAATATTTTAAAAATTATTTAAGGGGGCATATACACCTAGGTAGGTCGGAAAAATCGATTTTTCTTCATCTAATTATGTTCTTCACTGTTTCAAGAATCAAAATCCAAAAGATTAAAACGAAATTCGTCATAGTTTCATTGTGAACATTAATAATGTTGAAGCGCGCTTCAACAGGTTTAACCAAGATTGTATTTGCCAAAGTGTCTAAAAAACGCATTACATTTATTATTTAAAGATTTTGAATACTTGAATTATTTATGTATTGTTCATTATGAAAAAAATAAATGAGAAGACTAGCATTAAACACCCCAGTTGTTTTTTTTTTGAAAAAAAATATTTTTAAAAAAAGTTTTCGTAAAAAAATTTATTTTGGGGGGAGGGGATCTGAGTCTATGACCCCCCCCCCAGAAAATTTCTGGATCCGCCCCTGAGGACTTACGTCATTGAACATTTCTGAAATGTAATTTAAAAACATGCGGCTAACAGGAAATTTATTTCTAAATTATGTTCTGAAAGTTCAAGAATACGGATTTGAGTAATTATTAGAGAAATTTAGCATATTTGTACTACGCACATTCGTGTACACAGTGGTATGTGAATATTCTTCGCAGCCTCTGTAAAGAACCAAGGTTTTTCTGTTGTAAATGCGCTGCGTGTAGTACATACGTTAACAAATAGAATGCTACATAAAAGTGCAAACTATCTCTTTTGTCTTTAACCTTCTACATGGATAGACTGTTAACCAGAAATTATAAAATATTAAGTTTCTAATGCGTATATTAACTTCACCTATTGAATTATTTATATTCCTTAGTTTTAAAAATATGCGACTGAATTGTTTTTAAAATTTCCAATTTGAGTTTAAGCCTGAAACATTTGCATAAAAAAGACTAATTGTTACACTCCCATCTCAGATGGTTATGATTTCGCATAATTTGCGCGTAATTGTTTGAAATTAAAATAAATGATGATGATTTGCCTATCCCCTATTCAGAGTAATTATTCTTAATTATCCGCATATTTCGATTGTGCATATGACCTCAATTACTCGATCTTAATCTAATTTCGTGCTTTTTTGATGAATTATGCAGTGGGCGTGGGAGGAGGCTGTATCTATCATTTATGATATAGCCATTTTAAGAAACAATTAGTGAAAAGCATTCAAAGTAATAATCTTAATTGAACCAACAGAAACTTAATTTAAACTGCTCAATTAGAAGTTGATTTTAGAAACGATAAGCTATGAAAGCTGACTATATCATTCTTTAGAAATTTTAAAAGAGTATTTATATCAGATGAAACTTCGATTACTTAAGAGAGCATTCTTTCCGTTCGTTCTTTCGCAAAAACGTTCTTTCCGTGAATAAATATACCCTTTTTCTTTCTTTAATGGATTTGTATTTTTGACTATCTACAAAAAAAGGGCAGTTGCAATCTAGAAAATATGGTACCTATAGATTAGTTAGGAGTACTGGTTAAAATTCTGACTCCTTAGACTTTAGTGCATTTCGCTAGATCTCTAGAACCATTTAAAAGAATCAAAACAATTTTGAAACTAGTTGTAATACTCTTTTCTCCTAAAATAATTTTGATGCATAGAATAATATTTTAAGATAATTTTTTATTATTTGATTTATCAATGATCAAAAGATTTTGGAATTGCTAGATACACAAATTTTTAATTTAATTTAAACTATGTCATTTTGATAGACAAAGTACAAAATTTGAGCGGGATAGGCCGAACAGTTTCTGAGTAATAAAATTTGAAATAAGTTGTGTTTTTAATTTTTCTTTTCTTTACAAAACGAATTACCCTCACAATATTTATTCCCCTCCATAAAATTAAGCTGAAATGTTATTTTATGCCATTATTGGAGAATACATGTTTTCGAAACATATATACAAAATATATCTACAAAATAAACTCTACAAAATATATCGATCTCTTCAAGCTAGGATGGATTGAACAATTTTGTACTATATACTATTTCAATAATTCGCTACTTATAATTTGTACAGTTTTCATTCGAATTGCTTGAAATTGTAAAAATTTTACTTACATCATATAAATTTTTCGTACATCAGTATTTTTTTTAAAAAATTGTTTTTTATTTATTTTTTGTATATTATATTTAAACTATTACCATAGAACGACGATTATGCAACTAACTAAGATTAATAATTTTTCGTACTCAACAATTTTTGTATTCGAATTTAAATAAAATATTTAAATAAAATCATGGTATAAATTGACTAGTTTCACTGCTAAGGTCAGTTATTCAAAGTAGCATTATCTTAGTCGCAGTTGCGTATTTTAATAATAAAAATGTTTTACTGTTACTTTAATGATTTTTCTTCATTAATTAGAATAATATAATGTTATCAAATTTCCGTTTATTTTGCAAAATAAGTAATGTTATGAAATAACCATTATTAATATTGTAATAGAATTATTATTCCGTTGAATTCGAAAGAGCCCTTAGAAAAAATATTCTACGATTTAAATCAGAAAATTAGTTTATCTAAAGAACTGCAATTTTACAGTAATATCTAGTTGCTTATTATCGAATATTTGCTGTGTAACAAAGCGAGTGCTTTCATGAACAAATCCCCTTAAGAGGAAATTTATTAACGGGTAATTTATTAACGTAAAACCAAAAACCTAATATACATTTATGAATTAAAATAGAAATAAAACTGCATCTTTCTTACTTTCTTTTTTTTTTAAGAAAATGGTTTTATTTATTTATTTATTTTTTTCCCCACAGCCTCTTTCTCATTTACGTTCACCTGAGTCTCTCCTCCAGTCTCATCAACAACATCAGCAACAACAAAACGGCTACCTGGTGCACCCTAGTTCACCCCAGGGTCACATAATGAACAACAACCAGTTCCATAACCCCCCACATCAACAACAATCGAGGGGGCATCAAGACATGTACCAGAATGAAATGATGAACCCTCATTCCATGGGCATGCAGTAAGTTTTTTCCCTCATATATATTTATAATCTCAACACTCATATAATTTACTTTTGTTTTAATATAAAATATTTTGTTAATTTAATAAGTATACAATTTGCTTATGAATAGTTTTCTTTTTTAAATGTTGGATGTCACAATTCTTTTAAAACAAATATATTATTTAATATTTTGAATATTAAACCAGGATGGGAAATTTTCACACCCCAGCTAGCCACTGGCGACTGAATATTTAGGACTGGCGATCAAGTTTTATCTTGTAAAACGTTGCATTTCAAATTTTACAATCTCATTTTTCCCCTAGTTGAGAGTGCACGCTACAGTTGATGGACGTAAGTCCCGCAAACCTTTTATTTTGAGGGACTTAAGACTGTGTCCGTGGGAAATATTATTATTTGCTACAAATGTGTTTTAATTTTTCAGTTCCTAATATGTTCTATAAAAAAAATTATACTACATCTGTTGTTATGTTCTATAAATAAAAAAAAATTATACTATCGCCATACTTGCCATACCCTAGATACGCCACTGTATATTACATCAGTTAATGGTTTAAAAAGTATTCATATTTTTCGAGAAAATAAAGGCAAGCGAACATTTTAGTTTGGTTAGTACCTTTAGAATTGAAATGTCATGCCCTGTATTAAACTGAATACTGAGCTGCTCTGCCATCTAAATGAAAATTAATTCATTCATTATTCTTAATTATTATAATAATTATTAATCTTAAGTTTTAAAATACAAAGTTTAAATTATTTCATAAAAATCATAAGATGTTACATGAATCCTTTATTTATTTATGCATTCATTTTTAAGCCCTATATTTTTTTACTCAAAAATGAAATCTATCTTTGAAGACAGAGGGCAAGAGAAGTACATTTTTAAGGTCACTTTCTTATTCTCAATGTTTATTTTAAAATTAAATGAGTTAATAACTCTTATTAGAAAATAATGTTTTACGTTAACAAAAGGAGATTAAAATTTCGGTAAATGTACTGAGTTTGTCTATGCTAAAATCAGAAAAACTATAGTATTTCATTAAAAGTAATTTTTTCTCGCGTTTCCAATTTATTATTTTGTTAGTTTATAAAGATAAGTATTTCAGCTAATCATTTCTAAGATTCTAAGCTGACTGAAATATACTCTTTCTTTGAATAAAATAAGGGGAGGAAAAGTTAAATTTAGGTTTAATCTAATTCAAATTATAAGTTTTTATTTAATCGAAACTTATTTAATCTAAATTATAGATTTGAATTTTCTTTTTTTAAATTGTTTGTAATTTTGAAATTGTAACTTAGATTAAGAAATGAAAAATCAAGGCACAAAATTTTAAAATATCTGAGAATATTATTTACAGCTTAGTATTGAATTAAAAATTTGATTACTTATTTATTTTATTTTTTTAAATTTTTATTCTAATAAAGAAAGAGACTGAAATATTTAATTCAGTTCCTTTTCAGAGAATTTCGTAGAGAGACTTTTTGGTTGAACTTATTGATCTGATTTAGGAGACCTAGGTGGCAGCACAAATCGCATCTCTTTAGTGTTGTTAGAGTTGAATTAGAAGAGAAATTTCTTTTCATTCACTTTTACACGTTGTTGTTGGTGTAGTGGAATTTTACGATCATAATTTTTTAATATTTTTAGTCTTCATATAGGAAAACCCTTGGCCACCATTGTTTGCCAAGGGAAAACCACTGGCATGCTTTGCTACATTCTGTACAAAAACAAACCTAGGGATCACGTGATTTCCGGTCCGAATGTTCTTTATTGCTCCCAAACAAATACTATAGATTGTTTATGATGCCGGCAAATTTTCAAGTGGTTGAATATGGTGTGATAATTATGTATCTATGAAATTTTACTTGATCAACTATTTTATTCGATTTCCTAGAAACTATCTCAAAACAGACATTTTGAAAACATCGTGATTATTTATAGTAGTTATTCCTTTAGTTGTGCTTCAAATCCTGTGACTTTAGCAGGAATATATTTGCAATAAAATTTAATAACTTTCCTATGACTGTGAATGATTTATATTTATTCAGTGGTAAGTTGTTTTAAAAATCATAATTTATTTAGTTTTTAATTATGTTTGCCATAAATTGTTAAATTGTTGTGTTTTATTCTTATTTTTCCCTCCATGTTTTAACAACTTACAAAAATTATGTTTACATCTTTCATAATTTTCAAAATTCCTGAATATTGTCATATTTTTCAGAAATGTAAATATAAAACATAATTCTTGAAGGAAATTTATTTATTGGTATGATCAAATGTTTAATAGATAGTATACCTAATATTTAATTACATAATCCAGAAGCTTTTAGCTATAGATAAATTTGAATAGTAGAAGTTACATTTTTAGTAAACTGAGTGATCACTTTCACAGGTAACAGACAAAATCTGGAATTCTCATACAAGTTCAAAATCAACTCTGTAATCAGTGCTATTTTAATAAGCATTTAATTTGTTTTTTTAATCAAAGATTTAAATTTTTTGAATTAAATTATTTTAAACATTGAAATAAGGGCATCATTGAAATCAATTCATATCTATATTTCACTTAAGATAAGTGATAAATCTATTAAACAGAAGTCTATGAAACTATGGTTAAATTTAGGTTGTAGATATCAACAATTTTACTTAAGGGATATTTTGTATCGCTACCAGTTTGTGCCGAATATCGTGCACAACATACCAAAGGACTTTAACGCTTGGAAAAATTTTATTAAGTACTAAAAAAGAGGGCCTCAAATTGGTCTCTTTCTATTATGTATTTTTTTTTTTTTTAAGTTTTTTGGAATGAATTCGTTGTACGGTAATCGCCAGCCAAAATTTGATTACTGTTTTGTCGAAGATAACAATAAAAAAATCTTCTCTTGACTTCTAAGGGAATTTTCTGAATTTATTTACTTATTTAAAATTTATGGTACTTTTTCATTTCGCTGGTGCAGGTGATAAAGTATTGTTGGCAAAGTCACGAGACGCTAGTAAATTAAACAGAGTTTCTTTGTTTTTTGTGTGACAAAAAAAAAATTTTTTTAAGAAAAATAAATTAATAAAATGGCTGAATTTATCTGAGCTGGCGAAATAGAAAAGTACCAAATTTATTTTAAATTCTTTCTATTAATTGAATTTTAAGTCTACCCAGCAGTAGCTACATGTTATGCGTTTGGGATTTGTCCCCTCCTAAGATTTTTTTAGTGTCTTGTGTTCCACTGCCTGGAATTCGCCAAGATTTAGGCAACTATTTTGACATAGGTACCAATACGTAAATATACCAAATTATCTACAAAATATTAATGATGAAATCTCAGGTTATTTGGTTTTTATTTAAAGATTGCCCTCCTTCACAAAGTGGTCTTCATTACTAGCTTTTTTTGCTGACTGATTAGTTCTCATACTGGCATTGTGATTAAAAAACACACACTTTAAAATTATTATTTTATTCTCAGTAACATTAATTTTTCTAATAAATATCCCCAACCGTACTTTGCCTTACAATCAGAAACTAATCGTGAAAACCTCAGAATCAGAAATTAATCGTTTCTGGATAGAAAGATATATATAACTATCCAGGAAAAAAATTAGTGCAATTTTTCAAAGTTTATTTTAATAAATTTTAAAAACTTGCTATGGCATTAAAATTCAAGACTAAAAATTTAATAATTTAAGGTGTCAAAAGGTTTAAATCTTTCCACATTACGTTTCTATTTAGAAATTTTTGTTTTAATTAATCATTTCAAAACACACATATTAAAGACATTTATACTTTGTAAATTCAGTTTTTTTTCTGATTAATAATGTCCTGTCCTTTCGATTTTTAATTTCTACAAATAAATGGTTGTAATCTACTGGTTTTTATCAAATTGCAGATATGTTCTTTGGAAATATTTTATTTAATAAATCTTTTCTTTAAAATGTAACCAAAATTAATTGTCTTTTACAAGATGATGAAATAATTTTTGGTTAAAAATTTTTGCATCATGTTTATTTCTCAAATCACTAATTTAACATGTAATTACAGTGGAGCATCGTTTATACGACGCCGAAGGGACCACCGGAAAACGTCATATAAACGATAACGTCGTATAGTCGATTTTTACTTCTAAAACTTAAACTAACTCTGTTTTCAGTTAATTTTAATGTTTAACGTGTTGATTTACATAAATTTCTAAATTAGACAAAGCAAAACAAACAAATAACCAAAGGAGAAAATTGCAGTGAGCCATTTGAATGTATGTTACCTTTAATTATATTTTCCTGCTACTATCCTTTACAATGCTTTGAATAGCGAGTTGAAGTTACTGCTTTCTATGATGCAATTTTAAATTTCTAATCACGGCCAAATCTAATGGCTGAAGCGCACTTGTGCAATTTGCAGGAAAAAAGAGAGCTTTTACATTTTCCAAAATAATTAGCATCGGTGGGTGCGCTGGACATTGGTCGATGAATAGAAAAATTTTTCGTTTTTTCCTCTTCATAACATTGTCTAGTTTTTTCAGTCATCTAGTAAAAATTACGGTCGTCATCCAAGCATTCTTGTTTTCACCCTTTTCTGTATCATTCATGTTGGCAAATTCCGCCCTTTTTTAAAATACACAAGAAAAAATTAGAACAAAATCTAAAAATCGACGTATAACCGATTCTGTGCATCGTATAAACAATATATTTTTACATTAAAATGAATAGGAATGATTTGGGACCACACTAAAACGTCGTATAAATGTAAACGTCGTATAAGTGATCGTCATATAATCGATTCCTCACTGTACTTAACTTAACATTGCTTGCTTAAAGTGTTATTATGATAACAGCGAAAATTTAAAAACTAGTAACAAATATTTCATGAAGCTCTGAGAAACTTTAACTGCTTTAATTTTAGGAATTAAGTAAGTCTAATTAGAATTTAAATATATTTCCTTTTGTTTACAAATATATTTTGGTGAATATATATGTATATTTTGGTGGCTATATCGAAATTAATAAAAATAATTTTTTCTTTGCTGTCTATCTGATGAACTGAAACTAAAAACTACTTCTATATTTATTTAGTATGGAGTTCTTTAAATTCAAAATGAATATTTATTAGTTTTATTTTGAATTTGTAGTCTATTACAAAATGTCAAGATAAGTTATTCTACATCTTATTTGTGAGAAATGTCTTCCCCTTTGTTTCATCTTTGCATGCTTTTTACTATATAAATCAATTGATCTTCTTTTTTTCTCTCTTTCCAGAATGCAATATGATAATCATTCAAATTATTCAGAGACTTTAATGCAGCAAGGGTCTTTACAGCAAATGCAGATGACTCTTATGTCCCAACAACAACAGCAGCAACAACAACACATGCCAAATCCTCAACAAGTTTTCTCTACAATTAATCAATCTCAAATATCCAGCCAACTTGGACTTCAAATTGGAATGGCTAATATGCCTCAACAACAAGGTGGTTCTCCACCTTCAAATAACAATTCTCCTACGGTTGTTGAATCTAGTGAGGATAGTGATGACAGTACACCATTAGCTCAGGTTAGTATATTTTTTCTACAGTCTTTGCCTAAATTTTGTAAAGAAATTAAATTTTCTTTCATGTAATTTTTTTTTCTTTTGGTATTTTGTTTAATGTATTGTGAGAGAAATATAATGAATAAAAATTGCATCATTTTGAACAGATATGAAATACCTAGATTGAATAGATTTGAGGAAAGTAAAGAACTTTAGGACATTTTTTTGATTATGATTTTTAAAAATTTTATCATGTTGCCAATTTAAATATTTTAATCCTTGCTGCAATTAAAAAACTTTTTCTGATAATCCTGTATTCGGACAGTTCTTGTCACGAACGGAGTCTCTGGAGTGGTTATAGTTAAATGTTGATTCATCTAAATCTTACACTGTGTTCTCCCTAAGCGTAAAAAGAAAAACTTTAAAAGTGATTTTTATTTTGTAAATTCACCTTTAAAAAGTTTTTATTTAAGAAATGTAGATTTTAAATTTAAAATCACTTAAAAATTTATTAATATCCTCCCCTAAAAAAGAAGAGGTACTTGTAAGCTTTATCCAGTTTAGAATGAACCTAACAAAGTAAATATTTGTAATAGTACATCAGAATTTTACAATAACACACAAATAATTTTACCTAGGTGTAATTATTATTTAAACTGTGAATTAATCTTTTTTAAAATGGAACATGAATAAAAAGGCAGTATATTTCAGGAATGGCTACTTATTTTTACATTAAAGACCAGAAGGGCGCATTTATTGGGATCAAAGGGCAAGCGGGCGCCCCCGTCACCCACCCACACCTCTAAAAACGCTTAGGGAGAACACATTATACTGTACATAAGTATTACCTGTAACACTATTACAATATATTTCTTGATAAAAGATTATTTACAAGAAATATAAATGTTTGTTCATCAAAAGGTTAATTAAATAATTGTCGATATTTAGTATAGTTATTAAAATAAATTTTGTGTTAATTTCATTTTTATGTTAGTTTTCATACGTTTTTTTGATTCTAAGTCCATGTAGCTCAGCATCAATCAAAAGAATATTTTCGTATTTTTTACTTATTCATTCAAAATAGAAAAAATTAATTTAGTGTACAAAGTGTTTAGAAACTAATGCATTGTAATCACATGCTCCCGGGAAAGCAAGAGTTTAAAAAAATTGAGTTTTAAATTACTATGTCAAAAATTGTTTTTTGTCATGATAGTTAAAACCTGAAATTGTCAAAAACTGGCCAACCCTGTTGTCCAGTATTAATGCAGCTTTAATCGGCATCAAATTTACTAACTCTTAGTACCTATTACCTACCAAAATTAACTAAGCATCATTAACATCAGCAATAGTTAGTCGATTTTTACACTCGCTTAGTTTCATTAGTACCATTCATCCAGTAATTTTGCTTTTCAGTACAAAACTTTTTATTTTATTTCAGTTACAATTAATTTTAAATTATTTAGTTTTATAGTAACATATCGGCGTCAAATTTACTAACTCTTAGTACCTATTACCTACCAAAATTAACTAAGCATCATTAACATCAGCAATAGTTAGTCGATTTTTACACTCGCTTAGTTTCATTAGTACCATTCCTCCAGTAATTTTGCTTTTCAGTACAAAACCTTTTATTTTATTTCAGTTACAATTACTTTTAAATTATTTAGTTTTATAGTAACATGTAACTAAATAATAACACATAGCATAACTATAAACAGAATAGGCACATGGTTTCGGATAACTTTAGGAATGCTGATTGGGTGGCGTAGTCTGTCCACACTATGCTGCCAGGATCACATTGATCATGTAGATAATTTGGCATAATGGATAAAAAGAATTAAGTACAAAAAGCACAGGAAACAACTTTTTTCTATTAGAACTATGAGCTAGCAAGCATCATTTAAGTTATCTTTAAAATATTTGACAAAATTGCATCGTTTATAGTTAAATTTATTAATAATGACTTCCGCTAAACCAATATGGAAATTTATTAAAAATTATGGAAATTTCATTTTATTAGGCTTCACAATTTGTGTACTATTGTACATTTTTTAATGATTTTTGCTTATTATGATTAATGTCTTATTTGATTAATGTTGTTAGTGACCACGATATACCTGCAATCCGTTTGGCAAGCATGCACAAATTCTTTATTTTACTGTATATAGTATATGTTACCTTTTCCAACCAAAATTAAAAGAATGTCGGCTTTCACCGGTGAATGTCAACCATCACATAGTCGCTTTGGTAATGTCCAAAATATTTGTTGTGTCTGATTTGTTATTAATTTATTCATTAATGCTATTATATATATTTGATATTTTAATATCTGCTGAAGATAGATTTGGCAAAACATCAGTGTTCAGACTACAGGGCAAATGTATACCGGGCAGTGGCGCTGAACCTTAAAAAAACATTAGTGTAGGGTATACCGGGCAAATGTGTCCCTGGAAGTGGCACTGAACGTTAAAAAAAACATGAGTGTGCGGTATACTGGGCAGTGGCACCTAACTAGACCTAGTATATATTTTGGACATTTACCAAACCGACTATGTGGTTGTCAACTTTCATCGTTGGAAGTCAACAACCACCAACTTCGGTCATTCACAGTAGCATATAGATAGATTCTATCAAATAAAAATTAAGTTGACAGATATCAAATATATACAGATACTAATTATAAAAATTATGTCACTATATCTTAACACAATGACAATAAACCCTTGAGGTCTCTGCAGTACTGCTGTCAAGACTTCTGACAAATTTCCATATTTTTTTTTCCTTTTTTTTAAAATATATATATATTAACTAAATGAGCAGATTAACTTAAGTAAATATTAATTTGCTACCTGCTGCATATTACTTTTACTTATTAGGTCCAATACCCTGCATATGATGGCTTGGCTAAAATTACTATTATTTTTATCACACTTATTGTTCTTAGATTTGTAATTTTTAGGTAAAATGATTTGCTTCACTCTTTTATTTACTTAAATACTTTGGGAACGCCCCCTTTTTATTTCTAAAACTTCAGTCCTCATTTTTTGAAACTTTCACCAATGACTGCTGTTAGCTTTGTTTCGAGAGGTACAATGCATTGCTACAAGCTTCATAATAACTTGACTCTCTTTTGTGTAGGAATTAAAAGTTTGTTCTCCATTCGCAAGTTTTGATTTTAGTAGAAAAAACCATTTCAGTCATTTTTTCATGACATTTTGTTTATAACTACTTTAAAAAAATATTGCATCGAGCACAGGGGTTCGTTTCAATTGAAGATGAATTAAACAGCCCTTAAGACTCCAAAAATTTACTAGCAGAATCTTCTTGAAAATACAGTTATTTCTAGCACTCAATTAACAGTATAATACACAACCATACACAGGCTTTGAAACCTTGGGTCATCATCTGACTCTGGTCAGAACACAACTTCAGTCACAAGCAAACTCATACTCTNATGGCTTGGCTAAAATTACTATTATTTTTATCACACTTATTGTTCTTAGATTTGTAATTTTTAGGTAAAATGATTTGCCTCGCTCTTTTATTTACTTAAATGCTTTGGGCACGCCCCCTTTTTATTTCTGAAACTTCAGTCCTGAAGTTTTGAAACTTTTACCCATGACTGCTGTTAGCTCTGCTTCTAGAGCAGGGGTTTCCAACTTACATGAGGCCGGGGGCCGCAATTAAAAATACTAGTCAAATGGCGGGCCGCAACTTTATCAAAATTTTACGTTAGACTCTTATGTTTGAAGGGACATTAAATATTTATGTCAAATTTTTATCAAGTTGTGCAAAAGAAACCTATTGAATTGCAAATTTAAATTAGAAGCAAAGTTTTAAGTACATAGGTACACGATTATTTTTGTATTTGAATAAATATTTTCTTGGATGCAAAACCTGAAAAATAAATTTTTTTGTGCCTTTGGTATGTTAAATTTTACAGAAACGAAGAAATTATGTTTTTTTTAACGAAAGAAAAGTATTTGAAGTTTTTTTTTACGGAAAATGACAAATATTATTTTAGTTCGCGGGCCGGATGCGACCCGGTGGCCGCCAGTTGGAAACCACTGTTCTAGAGGTATGATGCTTTGTTGCAAGCTTCATAATTACTTGACTCTCTTTTGTGTATGAATTAAAAGTTTGAACTCCATTAGCAAGTTTTGATTTTAGTAGGAAAAACCATTTCAGTCATTTTTTCATGACATTCAGTTTATAAATATTTTAAAAAAAATATTGTATCGAGCACAGGGGTTCGTTTCAATTGAAGATGAATTAAACAGCCCTTAAGACTCCAAAAATTTACTAGCAGAATCTTCTTGAAAATACAGTTATTTCTAGCACTCAATTAACAGTATAATACACAACCATACACAGGCTTTGAAACCTTGGGTCATCATCTGACTCTGGTCAGAACACAACTTCAGTCACAAGCAAACTCATACTCTGCTGTTCTGCTCGGCTCACTCCTATTTATACCAGCTTGGTGGCGAACCTCGGAACTTACGACAAGATTTTGACGATTCTCGCATAACATCGTAATTATTGGTCCTATCGCATTGAAACTCAGAAATTTCCAGAAAAATAATTTTGTCACTAAGTCGGCAGAAATGTTGCAAAACCGAGTCTTCTATAAGAAATACATTGGGCGTTATTTTCTTTCAAAATTACGTTATATATACTCGACTTAATACCAAATTTTCTAATGGAACTGTTTATTTAAGGTTTAATATATTTAGCCTCATAACGTAAGACTATACTCAAAATTATACACTCATTTACAAATTCGTAACAATGTAAATATTATCAGCCAAGAAATTATTTTATTTCTAATCGCTTCCGTGTCGTGAAAAAACACATTCCTGAATAGAATTATATATTTATTTGCGCTATTTTTATAACATTTTTATAACAAGTAGGCAATTCTGTTAATCTGTAAAATCATTATGTGTTAATGATATGTTGCAATCATTTGAAGTCCAGCTCAGAATAAATAGTTTTTTTTCTTTCTTTTTCTTTCGTATAAAATTAAAAATGCTTTTAGAATGTAACCTCTTACAATTCCCTCGTAATCATTATTGCACTACATTTTTTTTTTTTTTTTTTTTGGCTTTTAATTTTGTTTTCTCTATTTGTTTTTATTATTCTTTTGACAAAAAATTCAATACTCATTTTGAAGAAGGGAAGATAAAGCAGTTGGAAAAAAATAATTATAAAATGTTCTTCCATTGGCTGTAAATTAATCTTTCATTTGGTCCTCTCTTTAGTCTTGTAGGTGATGACGAAATAATTAAATCAGTTTTTCCTTTACGTGGGGAAGAATAAAAAAAAATTACAAAAAAAAAGGGATTTTTTATTTTTGTGCGCCAAAGAAAAAATTGAGCTTTTTTTTTCCGACGATGCAAACTAATGAATAAATATTAGATGCGCAAGTTAAAGACGGTGAACAGAAAATCCCTTTTAAGGGGGAAAAAATGTATGACGTTGAATGTGCACGTCTAAGTAATGGAAATTAAAATCAATAGCTTCATTAACTTTACTGATGTATGTATGGGTGGATGGATGTGTTGAAGTGTGTGGTGGGGAGAGACCCCCCCCCTCCACCTCTCTTTCTCCATTTTCCGAGTTTTGCATTTGATTTCTTTTTATTTAATTTTTTGTACCTTTTTTTTCTAATTTCTTGTTTCGTTTCGCGAAGTCAAATTGTAGAGAGGATTGAAAAATGTTGTTAGCTCGAGGAGGAGGTATGTGTATGTAATGAAATGAGTTAAAAAAAAAGTTTTAAAAAAATTAAATAAATGTAATAGCCTGCAATAATAGTGTTGTGTGAGATCAAATTGCTGCTACCCAGATACGAGGGGAGGGGGTGAAATTGAAAATGGAATTGTAAGTGCATTTTTTTTCTTTATTTTTTATTCTGACTTTTTTGTGTATGTATTAATGAAATAGCAAATGAAGTCTTTGCAAAAATAAGATATTTTTTTCCTCGACTATTTCCTTTTTTCACATTACATTTTAATACATTTAAAAGCAACTAAGTTAGAATCCCCCTCTTATTTTCCTTCCTCCCTTACTTTCTTTGAAGTTCCCCCTTTTTTACTCATCACCAAATAAAGAGAGAGGGGGGAAGCCTTTAATAATTAACTCCTTTGTACAAATTTATATTCGCTTTCTTAAAATTCATCAACGCTAGATTAAAAAATAAAAACAGAGGGGAAAAAAATACTTGGCTCAATTTTTTTTGTCCTTTATTGCGTCGGTGTTATCAAGGGTGGGAGGCTGTGTAATTAAAGGTGTGTTAATTAATAGAGTACTTAGAACATTTATTTTTGTGTCTCTTTAAAAGAACTTAAGCTCCGTGATTTCAGAGTAATCGTCCAGGGTAATTTGTTTAATTTGATAAATGATGCGTCTTATGTTGTTAATTATACAACAAGCTCCCGACATTTTAACTTATCACTTTTTTTTTTAATTCATTTAGGTATTTAAAATCGCTAATGAAATGTTCTTTTTATTTTTGTTAATTGCCTTCTTTCTATTGGATCGATGAAATGTAGTTATTTCATGTGATTTTTTTTTTTTACCCATTTTTGCTCACATTAAGTTTGTGAAACAATTTTTGTCAATATTTAGAAAATGTAAAATAGAAAAGATATCGCTCTTAACATTTTTAAAGTAATTATTTTTGTGAAAATATTATGTAGTGGCAAATTATTTTTTTAAGCAGTTGGACAATTGGTTTTTTGTGGACGTATAACCATTTTAAACGACGCTATCATTTTATTTATTTGTTAACTTTATACTAGAGCTTACACTAAATGGCTATTAGTGACTGTTTTTTTTTTCATCGTTTGAAGTGTTTTAGAACAATGGTGAGTTTTTACACTATACGACAGCACTTAAAACCGGAGGTCAAATAATAATATATCATAACCCGATCTCCGCACCATGCTCCCCAATCGCTTATTCAGGCGTTAAGTTGTAGGTTTCTGAAACCACCGATGCATTTCAGTGGCTGCTATCCAATCGTAAACTCGGGCTTTACCCTAAAATTGAATCCGTCTCAAGTCATTGTAAGTAAGGTAAAAACGCTACACTCATGCCGTCATATCGTTTCACTGTATTTAGCATTAAACCTGCTGGCTACTTCTACTCTATTTATTTTTATCTTGTTTAATTTTCCTTTGTTCATATGTTTTTTGTTTGTTTTTTTTAGCTTATTGGGGCAAAAAAACGACTGACTCCTGAACCTGTTGACACAAACATACCTAAGGTAACCAAAAAACCAAAAGGTCAGAAAAAGAAGAAGAAAAGAGATCCTAACGAACCCCAAAAGTAAGTAGTGTTAACTATAAAACTGCTTATAATGGACTTTTTTTCTAAATATTACCTTCTATATTATCTTCCTCCACTTCCAAAAGAAATGAATAAAAAATAATTATAAAAATCTAAATTTTCCTAGAAATAGAACCTAATATTCTCGAAAATATTAAAATTATTTTTTGAATACATAAAAAAATGCAAAAAACCAACTTAATGTTATGGAGGAGAAAAAAATCTTATCATATGTGTGATATTTCAATATTTTTTTTTCCCCCGAAAATACGAAATAACCATAGAATAGAGCTGGGAAAGAAGTAGAAGAAGCATTTAGTTATATTTCCCTATTTCTCTTCCTCCCAATATCCGATTTCCCTCTGTCACGTGCTCGAAAACAAATAGCTTTAGGAACGTTAAGATCTCCGGAATACCGAAACATTGAATCATTTTTGCTAGATACAAAATTATTTTAAATTCTAATTTTTTAGGCAATAACTGTACTAAATTATTTACATTTTTAAAAAATGAGGAAATTTTTGAACGATTTTAAAAATGGTAAAATCGTATATTTTGATAAAACTTATTACAATTTGATTTAGTAATTTTCAGAAACGTGTGAAGTTATTTTCCAATTAGAAGTTAGGGGCCAAATCCATAATAAGAAAAACACCCCCAAAACATGGCAGACCCACTTCCAGCTTGAACCTGACCTTGCACACAGTCAGGATGAAATGCTTCTTCTGGTCTTCGGTGCACTCGACGACGTGCGTCATTTGAATATAGACAAAAACGTGATTCGTTAGACCATATTACATTCCTCCACTCAGCAACTGTCCTCGTTCTATGACTTCTAGCCCACTGTAATTGCGCAGCTTTATGTGCCTTTACACCTCTTACGAGATGTCCGACTCCAAATGTATATTGCATGCAGCTCCAATTGCAATGTTCTCTCGCTGACAGGTTGGGATGAACCTTCAATCACTAACTGAATCATTCCTGTCTGGTTTGGAAGCGTTTTTGATTGACAAGACAAGTCGTGAAACACGTATCTGGTCCCTTTCATGCATTTTCCGACCACAATTCTGACGTCGTCATTCGTGACCATGTGTATTACACCACTGCTTGTAGAAGCGTTGAACAGTCCGCACCGAAACACCAACAAATCCAGCAACTCCATTCACCATATGACCTTGGGCACGACTAAACACAATTGCCACTCAGTCACATCCTTATAACACTTACCCATATTTACACAGAATTTCCGCTTAAAGCAAAAATATCTCACTCATGGCTGCTTGCCTTTGATCACGTTGAGGCAGTGCGCACGCATGACCATTGCTTCATCTAACGATTCATCGGTGCATATGCACTAGGGTGACTAATTTTTTGTCCGGTACTTCAAAAATTATTTCCGTAACTATGAAATAACAACATGGTTACGAAATAGCATTGATGTATCCATTGGTACATGAGGTACATTTTTTGGAAGTTGTCGAAATAGTTTTAATACTTTAATTAGAAAGTAGCGTTTTTTAAAAATGCTTAAACGTTCATATTCTTGATTTTTTCTTATTTATAAGTCTTAAAATGTGCTTTTTTTCATTGGGTGTTTGTAACAAGGGCTCAATTTTCCTCGCTTGAAACTTTCCAAATGCCAAGATTCAAAATATTCAAGTTGAACTTTTTTCATTAGTTACCAAATAAAATACCCTAAAAAAATTTATGAAGAAAAAGAATTTTCTGCGCATGCGCAGTATGAAAATACTAAACTCATATCTTGTTCAATTTTCAACAAAAAAAAATTTTTTTAATAAAAAATTGTTCCAATTTTTCTTTCGATTTTGTGAAATATTTTTATTGTTATAGCAAAAAGAAGCTAAGTTTTAAAAAAAAAATTATGAATGTTTTAATCTCCATAAATATCTAAGCGAGGCTTACAAAATTTTATGCAATTATTGCTTATATTAACCAAATTCCGATAGTGGATGTTCAAAAGCACTTTTTTCGCTCGCTTCATCAAGCTTCTGGAAACTTTATTGATAAGTTTGGAAATCGCATGACTTAAAGTTATAAAATAACTTTCTAAGTTTTTTTTTTTTTTTTTTTTTTTGAAGAATTTAAAAATATGTCAAGTGTCTCTAGTTATTGTAAACTTTAAACATAATTTCTTCGCATACCTTAATTATATATATATATATATTTTTTTTACTTGAAAAAGTACTTAAAAAAATTTTCGGATTTTATTTTTGTTAAAAAATTTGGCTACCCACCCTGGGAAAAAAGTATGTTAAATAATGAAAATAAAAGTGGCGATATTGTAAACCAGTCCATCTTTTAATAACTACTCGTATAATATCAATTTCAGAATTTGTTTTTTCAATGCATGAATTTAAATAATAGAATAACCGGCTTATCTTAATCTATAACGAAAGCATTTTAAGTTATTTTATGCATAAAATAATTTTATTCTTATAAAATATTTTATTACCTTGTTTTTCATTTGTTCCATTTCATAAATTACATGCATGTTTTTAAAAGCATCTTATACGGCCAATTTAATCTAAAATATTCAGATATTCTTGTCTTTTTAAATTATGTTAGCTTAATATATTTCCCGAATGAAATTTTAATCATTCGTAAAGAATAAAATCGGAGCACTAGGAGAAATTCCAATTTTTTCTATTATTATCTTCTTCTTTTTTTCTTTAATAGCTTGTGTAACAAATGGGTTTCTGCTTTTGGCCATAATTCATCGTCGTTGTAATACTTTGAAATATTAAACAATACCAACTGCGCTGAGGAAACTGAAAAAAATAAATAAAAGAGTGATAAACGATTGAAAAACACACATACACTCTTTCCAAAGAAATAATAAATGAACGAGACTTAATGTATGATCAAAATGGTCCCTTTGTCCTATTTATGTGTTCACGGTTGGGGGAAAAAAAATTCTTTTTCTCTGTAGAAATTGTAAAAGCAAATCATAAATTGCATTTAATACTCTTACATTATAAATGAAATGAAATAAAAAAAATGAATGACTTTTTCTGAAATCTGTTTTAGTCCCGTTACCTTGGTAACGGAGGGAAAAATGTGAAATAAAAGTTGGACGTACAGACCGACAAATATCCCGCTATTATGTAACGTTTTTCATCAATAAATCCCTTTTCTCCGGCAAGCTATTGTTAAAAGTGGCACTTTTATGACCGTTCAGTCGACGTATTCCTATAAATATAGAGTTCTATAAAAAGGATTATGTTTTTATGGATTATTATTATTATTTTTTGAAATTTATGACTCTCTTTTTACGCAATATCTATGTAAAGCAGGCTTGAAATTATGACTCTCTTTAAAATTTACAGTCGCTGTAATTTTATTGCATTGGGCCATTATCCTAAAAATGCTAATATTGCGGTTCTTATTTAATAAAAGCATTTAAATATTCACTTACTTGATTACTTTTTTTTTTCTTTTAAGTGATTGCAGGCATTTTATGAATTACTTTAGGGTAACTCGTGTGAATTACTCTTCCTCATTTGAAAACTTTTTCACTTAAAGATTGTTCATTTATTAATTATTTTATTTGCATTGCAACTTATTTCGTAAGATTTGAAATTTCTTAAATCGTGAACTATTTCGTTAATTGTATCCAGGATAAAAATGTATTACGTTTCAATATTTCAACTTTTTTTTTTTTAGCAATTTTACCTCTCAGAGTTGTCAAATCTCGCAGCGCGTTTATTTTATTTTTTGTGAGGGGAGTAAATTAGTACTTATAAATGACTATTCAGCATAATCGATTTTAATATGATGGAGCTTGTCCAAAAAGTATGCGTGTCCAAAAGTGATCGCGTGATTTTAGACAACGCTCTTCTAAATAAACATTCATTTTTAATTAAGGTTTAATATCCGCGAAATTCTAGTCATGTTGTTAGAAACCTCGTGGGAAAAAAAAACTTTTGTATTATTTTTACCGAAAGAAAGACAAATATATCCATTATTATTATTTTTTTTTAACTGTAAAACATTACGCACGTGACAACTAATTTGAAAATATTGGAAAAGGTGGCCTAGGAAGGGATCCTATCTAAATTTTATTGTTCAATAGTGCAATTTTTTAAATTTCTCCGTTTTTTCATTCCTCGAAATTATTAATAATTATTAATTATCTCTAAATAAAGTAGTTTGTTCAAATTTAAGAAAGTGCACCCTTGCGTTTTTCACTTGTATAACTGACGTGCTACAAACAACTATGTTAATTATAAATGTTTTGTCGTAGAATTTTTATTAAAGTTATTTTGTGACAACAATGTTATCCAGTGTTTTCTTTTTTTTGTTTACAAATGAGCTAAATAATCATCGAAAATATTAAATATAAGTCATAACATTTCGTTAACTTTTTTTTTTTTTGAATTGAGAATCATACTAACAATTAGCATGTAATGTAACTATATTGTGAATGAGCCACAATTTAAAAATAATTTTCTCCTAATAATTAATAAAAAATTTTAAATTGTCTCTTTTATGAGATGTCTCAAACGCAATAAGTTTGCTATCGATTCAGATAGAGTTCGATGAAACAAGAGTTGACAATTCGAAATGAAGCATCGTCTGTTGCACAAGTCATGAAATCAAGAAAGAATTTTTCTCTTGTTTGTATGCAAATTTGTGGAAAGAAATTCCATCTTACCTAAGTTGGATTGCTCATCGAATTGAAATTGTCCCAAAACTGTAGAAATAAAAATGCTTTAGTCATATTTACAGTTTGGGTTTCGAGTATAGGTACTATCCATAAATGATGTAACACTTTTTTTTTCTAGCATTTTTGACCTTCCTCATTCTCTTAGCCACAAGGTCTGCACACATCACCTTACCCTCTACTTCAGTTACAGTTGTTATTACAGTTACATGTTACAGTTGTTTATTAAATTTAAAGGATATATTTTCTTTTTTTTACCCAAGATGTTAAGATACACATTTCTTGAAACTTAAATCCGAAGATAATGTATGAAAAAATAACTACATTCTTTACTTAATACAAAGAAGTTTTTAGTTATTTGCGTTGCTATATTAGCTGAACTCTAAATAAACATCAATTCGCGTAGTTATAAATGTGTTGTGTATGTATTTACAGACCAGTCTCAGCGTATGCCTTGTTCTTCCGCGATACTCAAGCAGCTATCAAGGGACAAAGTCCTAATGCCAGTTTCGGTGAAGTTTCAAAGATCGTTGCATCGATGTGGGACAGTCTGGATGTTGAACGCAAAAATGTGAGTTACCTTTTATGTCACTTCTTCTCTACATTATAATTTTTAATTTCTTACCTACCTAAAGTTTATTTGATTTTGTTAGAAAGCTATTTTTGTTTAAAAATAATACGAGTGAATTGAACTACTTGGTTATACGAGGTCGTTGACATCACGCTTAGTGTCATTCAAATGTGCCCTAATTAACTTGATATCGTTTTTATTCTTACATGAATTATGGAATAGCTTTGAAACTGTTATGCGGTGAAAATTCTTATTTTTGGTTTGAATGTTTTTAAAACACTTCTTATATCGTCGTTGTTAGTTGTTGGTGCGATGTTGAAGATGTGCGAGGCCAAAGAAGCATGACAATTGTACTGATTGATCAAAAACTATCTTTAATTACTGAGGAGATGTATTGCTTGTAAAAGGTTGCTTTCCTTGTGAAAGGCCAGGTGTTCGATCCCTCGCACCTATGCAGTTCCTAATGAGCTGTGGTGGCTCAGGGGATAGAGCGCTCTCATCCAAATGAGGTTCGCTGGGTTCGAATCCCAGCTATGGCTGGTTGATACGAATTCCGCTTCCGTCTCGCACCAACCACAGTACTGGCGTTAAAATGTCTTCCTTGGTAGGCGGATCATGCGTTGGAATCCCCTTGCAGTCAGCCTAACCGTGGGAGGTTTTCCTCTGCATCCAACGCAAGTGCGGTTTAATGCATCAAAAAGTTCTCCACGAAGGCAAATTTCTCCCAATACTTGATCCAGGAGTTCTCTTCTATATTGGGCGCAAAATTTGGCTACAGAGTTGAATATTGGAAGTCGTAAATTCAAAATTGAGTTGGCTGCTCAACAAGGGGTTATAAAAAAAAATTGATGCGAGAATTCATATTTATTAATATCAAAAGTTTCATAAATTCGATTCTATTTTTATTATAAAAGTATAACGATGCCATTAGAAGATTGTTAGCTTTGCCTGAATATTTACTTCAAAATGATATCTTAGGTTATTAAGACATTTAATTACTACAGCAGTATTATATTTTAATTTATCTTTTCTTTATCTCTTAAGAACCTTACTTCAATAAATAAATAGTTTATGAAATCCTAGGGCGGGGGGAAGTAACGTAAGGACAATTTTTGTTCCATTTTCTTATCAAAATCTTAATATAATCCATCTCGGGTGAGAAAATATATTTAACTTGATTTATAATATGATGTATTTTTTATTTAATATAATGAAAACGCTATCAAAAAATAAGGTATGAAATGTAATAAGATAACATGAAGTTTTATGAAATTTTTATTTCTAATTCAATTTCCTACTACGTTAAAATAAGCAGCTATGTGTTATTTTCGAAAAGAAAATGAACTCGGCAGCGCACAATTTTACGAGGATATAACTATTAATATGGCTAAAACACCTACTCGAACATATATTTTTCTGAATTATGATCGTACATTAAAACGAGCAGTTTGGACGCCACCCTCTGCTCCCTGCCCCCTCTGTACCGAAAGCCTGAAATGCAATTAAAATTCTTCATCTCATCGTAGAAATAATACCTCTGGGGCCATAAATTTCTTTCTGTTCGTCAGCTCTTGCAGCCTTTAATTGAACATAATCGAAATAAATGATCTTTCACGGGTGACAAGGAGTCCTGAAAGCCTTTTCCATCCCCTCCTGTGCTGGGAGCGATTTTGTTGCGAAAACTCTCTTCCCTACAACCAAGAAAACATCTATTTGTTACAAAGTTTAGCTTTTAAAAATTTTATTTCATTGGAAAGTTAAATATAGGCTTAGTTTATTGTTATGATAATTTATACATTGAAAAAAAATTCTTCAGTTTAATAATTGGATTTTTTTTTTTATTAAAATCTGGACTAAGCTTTCTGTGCAAAAATCGAAAATATAATTACAATATGTTCTTGATTATCTGTGATTACGCATTTGGGTCAGCATCAAAAATGCAAGTGCGTAATATGGGATAATTGTACTTTTTTTTCATTAAAACAAACTTTTCGATTTACAGTAGAGTCTTGATAGTTCGAGGTGGGCAGGACGCATACCTATCGAAACTTAAAATTTAATAAATATTTAAATCAGTGGTTGCCAACTGGCGGGCAGCATCTGGACCACAGAATCCTTTTTTGTGTCCCGCGAACTAAAATATATTAGTTGTCATTTTTTTTTTTTTGCGGCCAATTTTCGTAAAAAATCTATTTGGGTTTAAAATACCAATAAAAATACCTTTCGTTAAAAAAAAATAATAATAAAAAAACTAATTTCTCCATTTCTGTGAAATTTAACATACCAACAGTGCAAAAAAATTTCTCAGGTTTTACATCCAAGAAAATACTTATTCAAATACAAAAATAATCGTGTTACAAAATAAAACTTTTGTTTTGTACAACTTGATAAAAATCTGACAGTGATATTTAAAGTTTCTTCAAGCATAAAAGAGTCCTATATAAAATTCTGTTAAAGTTGCGGCCCGCCGTTTGACTGGTGTTTTTAATTGCGGCCCCCGGCCTCATGTAAGTTGGAAACCCCTGATTTAAATTAATGGAAGCAAAGCAATTTTTTAAGTGGGAAATATATTTGTATTTGAAAAAAATTTACTATCATTGGAGGATCGGGGTACATTTACTACATTAAACCAAGTTACAATATTCATCATATTACTGCATCAGATTAATTGTACTTTAAAATAATTGTCTAATGTTTTTTATTTAACACGCAATTTCGTTTTTCAACATTCAATCGTAATCATCGTTCCACGTGTTGTGTGTAGGTTGGTCATTATTTGGGAGCAAGACTGACTTTTTTTTTTTTCACTAGCTTGGATTTATGGTCAAACAACCGAAACTCGAATTATCGAGACTCTTCAGTATTTCAATTGAAAGTTAAATATTTGCTTAGAAGTTTGTTTGGATAATATATATAAAAAAAAATTATCAGTTTAATGATTAAATTTTTTCTAATTAAAATCGGGACTAAGCGTTTGAAAGGCAAGTGCTTAATATGGGATAACTGCACTTTTCTCATTAAAGTAAAATTTTCCGATTTATTTCATTTGAAAGTTAAATATTTGCTTAGAAGTTTATTGTTTGGATAATTTAGACAAAAAAAATTTATCAGTTTAATGATTAAATTTATCTAATTAAAATCTAGAACTAGTAATTGTAACGAAATTTCAGCATTAGATTTCTGTTTATTCTCTGCATTATTGCTTTACGAATGATCCAATGACAGTATGTAATTTTTTATATTATTTTATCTATGTGCTGACTTGTCGGTTAAGGTATATAATCGGGCGAAATAAATGTGTAAATATTACAAAAATAAATAATAATAATAAAACTTTCTACTTTGATCTTTAAAATGATATTTAGTTATAAATTAACTACAATATTTTGAAGTTCTAAACTATTACTATTATAAACTATAAACTAAATTTAATCGGAAATGATAGAAATGTTAAGAAAAAAAGGTGATGAATATAATATTTATGTTTGTTGGAGATCTAAACAAATAATCTACCTAATTGAAAATATTCTAAAAATATATAGAATTACCATTTCATAGATCCGAAAGTTATCTTGATAATACATATTTTTTAAAGCAATAAGTTTTAATATGTAACAAAATATTAATGGTAAAGTACAGTTATGTAGCACAATGTGTTTTGAATGTGTTCTTGAGCACCCAAGAAACATTAAACGAGTTAAGAGCGTAGCTGTGTTTTATTTTTCTTAGAAAAAAGACATTTGATCTAAATCATTATGTAAAAATTTCTCATATTCGATCCGGACCAACGGACAAATGTTCTTTAAAATTCTGAATACAATAAATAATCAGTCATTAGTCTACTGATTAAATTGAAATAAAATCTTAAGAAGAGTCTGATCTGCATATGAGCAGGATGTATATTTTTTCCATCAATTAAAAAAAAAGAAAACATTGAAATATGTAACTAAGAGGAGAGGCTTTTGCTTTGTTTTTGCTGACAAGGGTGAAAGATGAGAGTAAGCGAGTTTGCATTAAATTACAAACTTATGATTTTCTTCTATCGTATAAATGTATTAATTTAAAATCTGAAAATGAGATGCTATGTAATTTTTTTTTTCTCTTTACAGTCTTATAAAAAGAAAACTGAAACTGCGAAGAAGGAATATTTAAAAGCTCTTGCTGCTTATCGCGCTAACTTGGTGTCTAAAGTAAGTTTCATTCTATGTTTTATTAATTATAATTGATAGTTATTAATTATAATTGAAAATTAGAAACTATGAAATATTAAGTATTCATTTTATTTTTTAATTTTGAAATAAATAAAAGTTACCTTATCAAGAAAAGATTTTTAAAAAAAAAAAAAAAAAAAAAGTGTAAATACTTAACCTGAAATTTAACGGCAAAGAAATCTCGCTTTGAAGTTTAAAATGTTCAGTTTGTATTTCGTTCAATAGATGGCGATACTAGAATATAAACATCCTATTGAAATATACAGATTTGTTTACATTTATTAGTTCTAACGATTTGCCAGAAATAAGACATTTCTTTCTGTATTTTTATAGCGAAATTTTTTAAATACTATTGAAATATGCGTCAAAGAAATTTTAGTGAACTATCTTTTGTAAGTTTGTATTAACAATCTTATTTTGAAATATGATATTTACGGTTACTATTTTATTTCTGTTTCGAAATTGAAAAGTAGATTTTTTTGTTTTGATCTGTTTAGTTTTGTTTTGGTTTGTAATTTAACTGATCAATTTTTTGTTATCTTATGTACTTTGAGAAATTAATTTCTAATTGTTGTGAACCTGATTAGTTTTTAATATCAACACTTCAGCTTTGACCTATTTGTTAGTAAAATTCCATGTGTTGAATTCACATGCAGTTGTAGAAATGTGCAGCTAACTGACATATCGAGAATTTTGGTACTGAATAATATGACTTTTTTAAGGGTCTTTTAGTTTTGTATGAGAACTGATAACTTTAAAGAGTTTAATTGCATTTTAGTAATTTTAAAAGACTATTTTATTACAAATCAAAGATTTGAATCCGAGATAAATATTTCTTACCTACTTACTAAATTACCTACTAAATAATTTTAATTTACAATTTGATAGTTATTTTATTTATTTAATGAGGTCTATCAAATTGTAAATGAAAGACTTTCATGTTTCTTTTATCAAATTTTGAAATTTTAAAAAAAAAGTTTTTTTAAGGTTTTTGACAGTGATTATTTAGTTAGGGCAGTGTTTCCCAAACTTATGCCTTTTGTGTACCCTTTCTAAATTTTTCGTAACACTGTGTACCACTAATAAAAAAAAAAGGAATTTATTTTTTACTATAAAAATTTGCACAAAAGTTAAAAATCACAACTGGCTGTTGACGCCACTAATTATTAACTGTTAACTCTGCAAAAAAATAGCCAATAGAAAAATACGTAATTGTAAATTTTCATGGATAGTTTTGTTTAAATAAAACATTTTTGTTTGTTGCAAGATATTTCGCATAGGAATGCGTAAACTGTTCCCATACCCCTGGGGTACGCGTACCACACTTTGGGAAACACTGAGTTAGGGGAACATTTCCGTATCGTGATCTGTGGCAGAATTATCTCTTGGTAAATTCTGGACAGCAGCCTGTGAGAAACTTTAAAAGATAAAAAATTCGCAAACAAGAACCAACTTGCCATGTCTAGGAGAAAAAAATTTGTAGCTTAAAAATCTATTTGGTGATTGTAATTATTGCGGCAGATCATGATATAGAAAAATCCCTTTAGTTTTCTCCAATCAGGATGATAAATTGGAATTACTTTGCTTTCCATAGGCTGCTGTTGACCAGTCAGATACAATGTATGGAAATAATATTTCTAGTACTAGCCCTCCTACTACAAATTCTCCAAACAGTTCACCAACTGGTCGCATGATGCCCATGCAAAAGCAGCCATCTCCAGTTTTGACATCTGTTGTTGATTCCATGCAACCAGTTACTAATTCTATGAATGTACACTCTCAAAATCAGCAGGTCTGGCATATGGTAAGTGCTTGAATTTTTCTTTTAAAGTAATTTAAGCGTTCCATTCTTCAGGCTTAACTGCTCAAGATGAGTGTGTATTTCTTAGTTCTACTGGTATCATGAATTTTGATTTAATGTAAACTGCAAATAATCAGTTTTAAATATTTCAAAATAATAAATTTTTTTAATTAGAGTTCATTTGACTCAGTTGGTGTGGGAAAAAAAAATTTATGAAACAGTTGCTAATAGTAAATTTTAGAAAACTTGAAATATCTCTATACATATTGAAAGTGAACCTTTTGCTCTAGAATATAAGCGAAATATTCTTCCTAACTAAAATTATAAGGCTTGTGTGAATTTGTGACAAACTTATTGAGGTCCATTGTGAAGAATAAATTTTGATTAGGAGGAAAAAACATATTATTGATTAACTGAAATATGCTTAAAGCCTAACTGACTAATAGTCAACTTTAAACAATCAAAACAAAATTTCAATATCTAGTTTGAGTTGGTGATGCTACTTATTAGCTAAAATGAAATAAAAATTATTCTTGACTTTTTTTTATAGTATTGTCTACTCTGTTCCCGTTTAACATATATCATACAAATTCGGTATATATTTTAAAGGTTTAACTAAAACTAATGTTTTACTTAGCTCTTATACAAAACGGGTTTCTCGAAGAAAATTCAAGAATATTTAAAGAACTTTTTTAAAATCAGATTTACTCTTAAAGGCAACTTTTTTTTTTAATTGTTGTTTCTTCATGATGTGTCATGTACAGCTGGATAAGTTGAATCATTTTATTGTATATGGCTTAACATGACCCACCATACTGCATGCCTTGTTGTTTCTCATGTCTTTTCTATAAAAAAAATTAAACTGTCTGATCGCAATTTTAAATTTCATGAATTAAAATTTGTCATGTAGCATGCTAAGTCGAAAGCATGTTTTCTTTTACTTAGTCAAATAAATTACCTTAAAGTGTTTTGAGAGAAAGCTAACTACTTACAGTAATGTTAAAAACAGGTCAAATTTTTCCTAGTTTCAACCTTGTTGTTTTTCTGCTTTACAACCCTATTTTTATGTATGGGTGCATGGTAGATAAAACTCCATTCTAGTTTATGCAAATGTTTATTCTAAAATCATAGGGAAACAGTCACAATTCATTGCATTAAGTACTTAAAATTATTATGATTTGTTATCATATCATGATCAATTAATTAAAATGTCTATTTGTTGCATTTTGCAGCAATCTCCTCAGCATATGACAAATGCTACCAGTCCACCACATGTGATGCATGGAGGTAATGGCATGATGAACATGCATCAGCAGCAAATGCAGCCACAAATGTCACCTCCCCAACAAATGGGAGTTATGAACAGGCAACAAGTTCCTCCACAAATGACTATGAACTCACCTCCTCAGATGTGCAACTCAGCTTCTAACAGCCCTTCCTACAACCAGAACATGGCGACTGTAAGTGATAATTAATCTTGTATTTCATAATCACTGCCCTTAATATCTAAGTACAGAAAAATCCTTTTAACATATCACATCTGATAAAGTTAAGAAACATCAAAAACAGGTTATTACTGGTTGAAACTTGATGTTTCTAATAATCTTTGGTGATAATTGACTTTCCGCGGCATGTACTTATAAAATTTTGATAAAACTTTTCTTTGCTAAAATATTAATTTACATACAGCCCCTGATGTTGGTAGATTAATACTTCGGCTAGGAATTATTGAAATATGTATTAAGGGCAAGGATTATCAAATACTCTGTATATATTTTGAAAACATGTTATTTGCATTTCAGACCTTTTTTTTATTAAAGATTTCATTTTTAATGTAAAAATTTTCAGAGATTGGTTAGTCAATATTTCAGATTGTTACTCTACAAGTTTCTTGTTTTAAAAGTGTTTATCTAAAATGTTTATAAATGTAGCTTATTGTTATATTTCCTTAAGCCCACCAAATTATAAGAAAGGAAATTTTTATCAGTATTTATATTTACTTTGTCTCTTAATAGCAAAAGAATAAAAAAAAAATTTCAATAAAAGTAACCCTAATTAAAAAAAAAAAAACTTTGGTTGCATGTAGAATTGCTCAAGAAGATTAGCCCACTGGTGGTTTAGCACATGAGCAAAATTGGGAGAATGTTTTTCCCTATCTCTTAACATGGAAAAACATGGTTTGATATGCCGAGAAGACAGGGATAAATTATGACTTCTTGCTTAAGGGATAGAAACATCAAAGAACTGATAAAAATTATCTCTTAGAAAGTGCTGGTTCTGAAATCATGAAGTTACAATAGATTCACCTACTGTAACCTCAATTATGAACTACAATATAGATTTATTTTTTGTGTGATAAATTTTTAAAGCAAGTTTAAGATTATTTCAAACTAACACTCTCTTCCTAATTAGTTTTTTTTATTGCATCTAGATTTTTTTCTAAACGTTGTATTATTCCAGATGCCGTCTGGAAATCATCCTAATATGGTTAATGCAGATATGATGTCTTCGTTGCCAACTTGTTTAAGAAACGGTTGCTCCAATCCAGCTATTGATAACCCTGACTGGGATCGAGAATACTGTAGCAGTGAATGTGTCGTTTCCCATTGCAAGTGAGTCGTTTTTACTTGAAATAGGTTTATTTTGTTTTACTTATTTTTGATTACAATATTTGTTTAATTAGAATTATTCAGTCTTCTTTTTCCTATGTCTCATAGTGTTTTGCCTCTGACAATTTTATTACTCAATTTTTATTTAATGATAGAATTTATTAAAAAAACATTAAAACCTATGTTTTTGACCAAATTGTGACAAAATAAAAATAGATGACACTTTGTGCTCTGCATAAATAACCTAAATGAAGACATAAAAATTTGCATACTTTAGTTTTGTTTCTATAACATGGTGATTAGCATTTTTAAAAAATCCTTAGAGGTGCTTATTTCATTAGGTATTTTTAAATAGTGCCTAATTTTTCCTTTTCGAAAATGAGATTTGTTTTCTTTACCATGTCCATTTTTGCCACGTTTTATGCTAATACCTGCGTTTCACATTGTTCTATTCAACATTATCACAATTCCTTCAATCCCAATCCATTTTGGCGTATGAAAGCACCAATCATTTTACGTGTTTGATGAAAATTTGCTAGACCGCGCGTGCATCTATTGAGCTGGGTTTGATGAGCTTATTCCACTCTCATGTGCAACTCTGCTGCATTTTGCAAGCTATTCTCAATTTCAAGCTTCATTTTCCACCCTCTGATATCGAACCAAAAAATCTCTAGATCATTTTATAATGGCTAATGTAATGAAGAAAAAGAGTTCTTTGTCAAGAACTAGTTATTTTATCATGATCTTGTGAAGTCTTTGAAAATTAATTTCCATTTTGTTAATGTATATAGTGCTTAAAAATATCTTTTGAGTGCTAAAAAAGTACTTAAAAGGTGCTTAATTTTTGTTGAAAGACCTGTAGGCTCACCCTGTATAAACAAGAGCTTTCTTCATTATCAAGACATAATGAGAGAAAGTGACAAGAAAAACTTGTGATGTAGCAATGTTTCATCAGTGCAATAAGGCATAATTCCTTATCACATGTTTGTCTTGTTACTTCTCCCTGTCATTTTGACATTGAGAAAGGTTTTTGTTTATTGATCCAAAACTATAGTGCATAAATTATTATGCCTTCATTTGTGTTTTATTCACATTGTTTGGCTTTATTCAATAGTGTATTAAAAAGTTTAATATGGCAATTTTCTGTGAATTAGAAATTTTTTCGCCTTTCATATTCAATTCAAATATGTGTAATTTTTTTTAAAAAAAAATAATAATAAAAAAAAAAATTTTAGTAGTATCTTTTATTTTACTTTAACTAAACTTTGTAAATCGTCATATTATAAATAATGACCTCTATATAATACATCCAGTGATCATGCAAAGGTCTCTGGATACCTGGGTATTAAAAAATATTTATTAAGAAGAAATCAAGACAAGAATACGTACAATACAACTAAATCATTATAACATAACTAGAGCGTTTGCTTATGTCTGCTCATATCCGTATCCCCCGTCTATCTGAGTGAGGTTCGGGCAGAAGAGGGGGGTTGCTATAGTTTACCCGACAGATATATACTTATATAAAATCTAAACCCATTTTTTATTTAAATTTGATTCACATTTATGTAAGTGCAAAAATATCTCTATTGTGAAAAATTTAGTGACCAAAAACTTAATTAGAAAATGTTTTGCTTGAGTATAATATTTATAGATTAAAAAAATTGTTGAATTACTTTTAACCTTGTATTATTTTGCATTTTCAGAGATGTGTTTGCTACATGGGTAGCACAAAGGCAAGTGAATTCAAACCCATATTCAACTGTCAAGTAATCTTGTATCTCGCAGAGTGATCATTAAAAGTTACATTTTGTACAGGGTGCATTGACTCAACTCAGTATTAATTATAAATAATGATTAATTGTGTAATATATATATATATACATATAAATATATCTATTTCTTCAATAAAATTGATACATTAGATTGGACGAACTCTTGAAGAACTCTTTATGTAAGAGCTTATTAAAAGAAACTGATTGTTGCTTAAACAAAAAAAGCATTGAAGGAAAAGGGTGTTTTTGACAGAATCTATAATTCATGCTTGTGTTGCAATGCATAGACAATCTTGTGAATACTGTGACAAAATGCATTACATTCATCAAAAAGGAAAAGAACACTTGATGTTTCTTTTAAATATATGTGTAGTTAGATGTTGTAAACATTGTATGTAACAGAATATACTTTTGTGAATAATGTGGTTTCCACCCCCATACCTCCCTATTGTATAAAGAAAAAATTCTTTTTATCCATGGGAAGATAATTTCCTTTGCTGCCCTATTGTGGTTTGGAAAAAAAATCATCTTTATATCAGGTGGTCAATACTGTTCTGTTTCCCTGTTGTTTGTTGAAGTTTGTTACACGAAGTACGATAAAGGGAATATTATATTTGCATTTGTTAATGATATCCACTGTAAAAATCCTATCTGATTTTTCTCTGTCTTTATATTTTTATTCCTAATCAAAACAGGATTGTGAGCAATTTGAAAATATGCAACAAAACAGATATAATTAATCATATGCATTAACTGCTTAAAATTAGTTTATTCCTTAACTACATTTATATTGACTGATAGAATTCTTTATTAAATTTGTTTTCTTTAAAGTTCAGTCTAAAGGAGCATTTTTTTATTCACATCTGCAGTGGTGGCTTATGACTTAAAAAGGTAATATCTGCTCATAAACTTTTTTAAAATTTAAAATTACAAAAGCACTTTGTTTATTATCAATTGAACCAATTTCAAATTTTGCAGAAAAAATAATTAACCAAGTAATGTGTGACTAAATAATTGTAAGTACAAAGATCTCCTTGCTTTATGTATATATGATAAAAGAATATATATAATAAAGAAAACTGAAGATTTTGAAGAAAAAAATCCTAATTAGGGTCTTGGTGACCTATATAACGAGTCATCACTGCTTTGCAAAAATATATATGAAAAAAGCTTGTTTTTGTTTAATATTGTTTATATTAGTAGAAAATATGACATGTACAATGATAAATTCATTAGACATTTTTAGAGAATTTTTTTTCTTTTTTTGTGCTTAAATTACTAAAATTTACGATTAAAAAATAAATATTAGTTATATACGAATGTCATCACATCGACTTTATAAACTAAGTTATTTCAATTCATGTGGACCAAAAGTGAACCTTTTTAAACAGTTGGATTTACCTTAAATTTATTTTAATGCATGCGTGATATTCATACAGTTTTTTTTTCCTGTTATTTTTTATGCATTCTTTGTGAAGTGTTGGCCTCCATCACATTTCATGTGGTTTCTAAACCACTTGTGCATGGAATAGTTGTTTATGTATTAATATAAAATACAATTATGGAAATAAAATAAAAAAAATTGTGTCAATGTCTGCATGCTTTATGTCTTCATTTATCACTGTATAAATACAGGTGTGTAATTATTGTCCTTTAAAGATGATTTTAGAATCCTTCTTAGTAATAAAGTAAGTAAGTTATGAGCATAAGAGAAAGTTAAAAATTTATATTAAGAGTAATAAAATTTCTACCGATATCCTAGTATGGATGAAAACATCAAAAACAGTTTGATTGCCTGGTGACACTCAGGTGTTTCATTTAAGTGCTTTTCAACTGCGGCCATTAAATAGGTTTTGGTGTTTTCACTATTGCTGTATCTGGTGCTCGATATCTTAACCTTGTGCTTTTTAAACTCAAAACTAAAACATTTTCGTGAAAGAAAGCAAACTTTTTACTCGGATGGCGTCCTCACTCGCCTTTTGATCTGTAAATTTAAATTTATAGCAGCTGTAAAAAATGTTCTAACACAGAATAGTGATGTAGATAAAATTTCCAGCAATCCTGCTTAAATGTGAGTGTAAAGTATGCCTCAAATGGTATTTTTAGCAGTGTAACATATGCTGTTTTACACCAATTACAGTCGATTCTTCAATGAAATTTTCGTTCAATTTTTCTTTCCCCTTTTATATTAAAAAATGTGAAAGTACGATCTAGTATAAGTGCTAACAATGCTTGCGGAAATCCCAAAAATTCTCCTACTTTTAATGAATAATGGGTATCTCCTACAAATGATCGATGTTCTGTTACATTACATGCAAATATTTAACATATCATCTCTAACTACAAACCATTAACTGGATTTAAACTCCTAGTGTGATTCTTGGTAAAATACTATGTACCTGAACGATTTATTCTTTAGATAATATTAAATTTTATTTTATAGCCAGCGTTGAATAATATTTAATTGAAAACTTTTTGTTTTAGCATAAAGCAAAAAAGTAGTGCTGCATTAAATTCTATAATCTTAATAAATCGGTCCTGAAAATTTTTCCATTTATTAGACATAGATACCTGCTCCTAACACTTTCAAATAAGCACAAACTGAGCTTATACCTTAAAATTAATTTTCTCTCTATTTATATATATATATGTAAATAAATGTTTTTAGAAACGAATAGACTGTGGACATTAGAGTATTCTACTATGAGCAAAAAACATGGAATTTTTTTATTGGTTAAGCATTAGCCATTGTTTTAAATTTAATTAGAAGTTNGCTTAAAATCTCTACTTTTATGTACTCTAATTGTTTTTGATTAATATATTTTGCAACTACGTACAATTTACACTCTAAACAATCATAGAAAATTGTATTAATTTTTTGTGAAGTTTGACGTGATGTACGGGCACAAAGGGGTTAGATATTGTTAATTTTTATTATACCATTGAAAAATTTGGACTTCTAGCTTTCATTTAAAAAAAATAATTCCAAAAAACCATGTTTTTTGACGAAGTTATTGTCAAATAAAAAAAAAAAGGTTTTTTTTTCTGAATTTAATGATTTTTCAGCAATTGTAATGAATTTTAGTGTAATTATAATATGATATGAAAATTTTTTAATTAAAATAAATTAAAATTTAATATTTCTCGATAATATTATTTCATAATTTATTATAACAATTTTAACTTTTTTTTTTGGAAAATATAATAATGAAATAAGAATCAACGTTTACAATTTAATATTTTGAAATTTATTTTTTCGTATTTTTCTCAGAAAAAATTTGAAAACAAAAATGTAATAATGAAAAAATATTTTACATCATATTTTGCTTTCTTCAAAATATCCTCCCCGCGCTTTTATAACTGCAGCACACACTCGAGGCATCCGATCAATCAGCTTTTTTAATGTTATCTTGTCTATTTTTCGCCACTGCTCTTGAAGGACTTTCCACATATGATTTATGCTGGTTAATGGATCGAAGACCGAAGGTAGGAGGACGAACCTAAATAGTTCCTGTGCGGAATTCATTATAATTGCTGAAAAATCATTAAATTCTGAAAAAAAAACTTTTTTTTTATTTGACAATAACTTCGTCAAAAAACATGTTTTTTTGGAATTTTTTTTTTAAATGAAAGCTAAAAGTCCAAATTTTTCAATGGTATAATAAAAATTAACAATATCTAACCTCTTCGTGCCCGCCCGTACATCGCGTCAAACTTCACAAATAATTAATACAATTTTCTATGATTGTTTAGAGTGTAATTGTACATAGTTGCAAAATATATTAATTAAAGTACATAAAAGTAGAGATTTTAAGCTTCAAAATGAGCTAAAGCAGAAGCATTTTGGATCATTTTTAAAGAAGTTATGACGCTTTGAATTTTGCCATTTTTTTATAAGTTTCTAGGTGTACTGATACTTTTGAGCGGTACTGTATGTAAATAAATGTTTTTAGAAACGAATAGACTGTTAAACCAGCCGAAGCACTATGGACATTAGAGTAATCTACTATGAGCAAAAAACATGGAATTTTTTTATTGGTTAAGCATTAGCCATTGTTTTAAATTTAATTAGAAGTTTCCTTTTTTTAAAAAAATATTTTAAAGATGTCTAAGCTGACGTCACTTCACTTACCTGCCCAGTGGCAATCCATTAATGATCAATCAAATAGCAAGCGATAGAAATACGTTCCTATTGGAATGGTAATAAATATCACCCAATGGTGAAAACGGCTAGTTTCCATTCTCAACACATTGCAGCAATTCATTGATTTATTCCACTCTAGGATGTAGTTCAGCATCTTGTTTGGACATGTCTATTCGCTAACATCAACAGGAATAAGGTTTGAGCTAAAAATGAAAATTTATGGAGACTTAACAATTCATTTAGGAGGAGCATTAAAAATTGTTATACTTTTATTCGCGCTAATGATGCTTAATTAATATTGGTAATGTGTATTAATTGAATAAAAAAAATAACCATCTTAATAACTTTTGATCTAATGATCGGATCTGCACGTTCTTAATGGTTCGTGGAGGTGACTCTAAATATGCTAGTTAATTAATGCAGGCGATGTATTACGAAATAAGACACAAAAAGTACTTTTTCTGAATAAACATTTTTCAGACGGATTAAGATTTTTGACTATCAAAATATGGTCCTAAAAGTTTGGTGAGGAGAGCTGTCTAAAATTTGGACCCCTTGATTTTACTTTTACGTTTTGCTAATTTCTGCACTCAATATAAAATTCGTTTAACCAAAGATAATTCCGTGCGAAAAATAGGTTTTAGTAAATATTTATTATTTTAGTCGAAAAAATTTTGAATTGACAGGTATACAATTTTTTGCATTATTTTAAAATATGCAATTTTAAATGACAAAATTTGAGCGATATCTGTCGATTAGTTCCTAAGAAAACGAATTTTGAAATTCGATTTCTCAGGAATTATTCTACTGGTTTTGCTTAAATTTTGTATTTTACAATGTAAAATTACATTCTTTAGCATGATGCAAACATTTTTTACCTTCCAATTCATACTTTTTTCGTCTGTTATTAAATAAAATATTGACTATAAAAAAAAATTGCCTGGCATTTTCTTTAAATAAACGAATTTTATAATTGTGTTCAAAAAATTTTTAATTCACTTAAAAAGCTCCAGGTATAGAGAAATATACAAAAAATAAAATTAACGGTCCAAACTTTCAGGACCATAATTCCTAGATTGCAGCTATCCCCTATATTTTGGGGGTCAGAAATCTTAATCTGTCGAAAAATAGGTATGTTTATTCAGAGAAAGTACGTTTTTGTGTCAGATTTCGTAGCTTAAAATATCGACTGCACTAATTAAATTACATAATTATGGTCACTCTCCTGAACCTTCAAGATTGAGCCCTAGAATGCAAAGATCCGTTCATTAAATTGAAAGTTTTTCAGCGTGGTCCGTTTTTTATTTTGCGCACTGTACTAAAAAGCAAACTTAATGGCGAAAAGATACTCATTCGTTTTAGGGAACCGTAAAAAACCGCCATATTATTGACGCTAATATTTGTAGTGTACGTTAATTGAAATTAAAAATAATAATTTAGGTACTAAAAAGCTAATACATAACTTAAGGAGCAAAAAGGTACTTCATTTAGGGCCTAGGTTCCCAATGTGAGAGCTGCCTCCCCCCACTGGGCGGGGACTTAGGGCGTTAGGATTTTTCTGGAGAATTCGTACAACTAACAGAAGAAAATTATTTTAAAAAATTGAGTACACAATTAAATTATTTTTTTTTCAAAAAATTATTATATTCAAAAACTAATATATAAACACAGCATACATTAAATATTGTATAAGCAATTATTAATTTAGACATTTGTTGAGAAAAGAATTAACAACTAATTATGATAAAAAGTACACTTTGTTTGCTATTCTACACAAAAAAAAAAACGTTAGATAGTGCGAATTTTCAAGCAGTTGTTAGTTAAACAGGTTTAAATACTCTTCGACAACTAAAGAATGTATAACAACAACAATACAGATTTTTAAGTCGCGGTGACTCAGAGGATAGACCTCTCGCCTCTCTATGAGGTAATCCGGGTTCGAATCACAGCGATGGCTGGTAGATACAAATTCCACCTCACACCTACCACCACAGTGCTGGCGTAAAATATCTTCAATATACCGGTTATGGGTTTGAGTCCCCTTGCCGTCAGGCAAACCGTTGGAAGCTTTCGTGGTTTTCTTCTCCGTGTAACGCAAATGGAGTCAGTTCCATCATAAGTCCGAAAGCAAATACCTTCCGATACTTGAGCCAGACGTTTCCTTGACTTCAGAATTTTATTCAAAATACAAAGTTATGGAATTAAAAATCAGTAGTCGTAAACTCAAAATCGGGTCGACTATTCAACGATAGTTACATAATAAAATAAAACCAATTGAGTTTATCGATGCGATGCGTTAAGCTTGGTGCTTTTGCCAAACTTTGTATCTTTACGATAGAATTTTTCTAAATTTGATGAAATGTTCGTTCGGAGCATTCCTTAGGAAACTGTTTCGTCAAAAATGACGACAATTTCGTGAATATCTAGCATTCATTTATAACAGTATGAGCATTAAAAACTGAATAGAGAAAAATAGTGTTCAGAAAATACACAAAATAGAGCAAGTGTCAGTGAAATGTAAGATAGTGATCACATCAAAAACACAAATACATCTAAATTAACACCCTATTTCTATAGCAGCAGAAATGTAGAAATTAGCAAGTTACCTTTTGAATGCGGATAACATCTAGCTATCTAAACTGTTTGGCATCAACTTAAGCATGCAGTGTTATTGTAGATGGAGCATGAAATGTTGTGTAAACACTGCAAGAAATTTACAGAAAAAAACCTGTCAGCAGGTGTACCAATAAAAAAGCGTTTATATAACAGAAAACTGTTATTTAAAAACTGAAGCATGTTTCTTAAGCAGATATGTAATACTGTTATCAAATACATAAGAATACTATTCATCAAATAAAATGTATCTCGTTACATATTTTTGAATAACTCGAAAGTACATGCTGATGTAAAATGACATTTAAAAAACTTTAAGCTCGATTTTTAATTTTCTGAAGAAATATATTTAGTTTTTGAATAACAAACAAAATTGCAAAGTTGAAAACTATATGAGCGTGATAGTTTTAACTTAAATGCATTGTTCAAAAACAAATGTTTCACAAAATTTATGCATAAACAAAAAACTTTTTGCATTTAAATTTGTTTTCCTACGCTAAAAGAATTTTTATTCCAAAAGCATCATGCTTTTATTTTTAGATAAGCTACTTATATTTTCTAGAAAAACATAAGCTTTCTCGAAAATAAATGAAATGTTGTTGGAGAAAATACATTATTTTGCTTTGCATAGTTTATATCGTATTTTTCTTTTAAAAAATTTTTTTTTCTTCCTTTAACTGCTCGAAGGCAATTGAAAAGTGAATATAAAAACGTTTTTATTTCCATTTGTTCTTACATTGAATTTCTTACAATATTAAATCATATTTATATTCGATTCAATTCTCAAAATACATTAAAAACAACTTATTTTGGGGAAATGAATTTAAACTCAAAAAAGAAAAAGTAAATACGAAAAATAAATATTGTTTCAACTGATTCTCGAATTCTACGATAAAAAATGAATACAAATACGGAAAATTAATTTTTTTTTCTTTCAAAGATTTCTCCCGTTGCCACTAAAACTCATAATACTTTTGCGAAACCATAAATAAATAGGGTAAAAAAATCGTTTGCAGAAACGGAAAAAAATTACATTTGATGAAGGTTATTTAAATAAATGAAGAGAGCTTTTCGAATAAGAATAACTGACTGAATAATATATTTACCTTCAAGAAAGTATTAATCATTTCGAAGTTAAAAAATGATGTTTGACAAACGATTTTTTTCACTCAAATTTAACGTCTTGTAATGCAAATTATTTCCATTTTCGGCTATGATATGAAAAAGAAACTATTTTAATATTATACGTTTGTCATTTTTGTTTCACCTTTAAATGTCTACACAATCGTAATGACAAATGAGAGCAGATATCCACCCACATTTGAATAGCAATTACATTTTACGTCAGTTCTGTCATCTTCAATCTTTTACTTAGACGTAATAAAGGATAAAGAAAGAAAAAATGTTGAATTATTTCTAACTTTCTCTATTTTGTTTATTTAATTAGAGAAATAATAAACAAATCAACTCAGCTTTTTATAGTAAAGTATGTGTAAATGGAAATAGAGGAAGAAAAAAGCCTTTTTCCCCCCTAGATAGTATAGAAGAAAGAGTGAAATTGACATTAAACTAAGATTTTTTTTCTATTTCGTTAGCGTATCGTTTTTAGTTTTGAAAAAAAATATATCTTCTTGAAAGCTTTCAAAAATGTTTCGTTTTTTAATACTCTTAAGTTTTGTAAATTATGTGCCTGTAAAAGATGTTAACTAATAATTTTAGAACATACATGCAGTACAGCAAAATGAAGATGTATTATAAATTACTCGATTGAAAACTTTGTGTAAGAGTTGAATAAAAAGTATTTGGTGCGTAATAAAGTAAAGTAAAGTTATTTGTGTNTATACAATTAAGCGAGGAATAACCAACAATTTAACTTTTTAAATTTAGAGTCTATATATTGAGTAAAGTGAAGACATACATTAAAATTTGTCCTTTTTAAAGACTTGACAGTAAAAAATAATTTCCTATACTTAATACAGGAGTTTATGTTCTAAACATTCAATTCTTCTTGAACACCAAAATTTGAAAGTTTTCAGTAATTGTTTAGCATATGTCCTTCAATTAAGTTCCTTAAGTAATAGTTATATAATAAGAAAAAATTAAAAAAAGTAACACTTTCATTAAAAAAAAAAAAAAAAAAACTCCTTATCCATCGAGTTAGATTTTACGTGTTAAATAATAAAAGGCAACATTAATTCAAAAACAATAACTTAAAAAAAAACAATAAAAATAATTTATAAACAATACCTTAACAGTAAGAATGATTCGATAACAATAATTTAACAATATTGACGACAAATAATAGCAAATCCTATAAAAACAATAAACTTTATTCGCAGCCTCATAGAGAAAATCACTGGAGCAACTAAAATGTTCAATGTAAACAATATATAAATGGTTTTTATGAGTGATTTGTTGACTGCGATATAATAAGATTCTAAAATATTTCAGATTTTTATAATTTAGCATGAATGAGTAGTTACGTCTCAAGAAAGTCAAATCAATGTATTCCTTTTTATCTCAGTCAAGATATAACATTATTTTAAAACTTTATTGGGCGATTATAATAAAACTGATTCGCTTTTTATTTGGGAATAATCAATACAAAATAAGCATCGTAGCATTTGTGTAGAATTTAAAACAAACGTCTAAAATTGAGAATTATCGTTAATTGAACTTATGATATTTTTTTAAATTTTGAATGTATACTGTTCGGTTATACTGTGCTGTTATTAAAAAAAGTTAGCGATTTCTTAATGTCATGCATCTAAAAATTAAAATTTTTGTTGAAAAATTTCAGTCAGAAATAGTTCTAAAACAAAAAATTTAAGATGACTTTTCGAGCATTTTAGGAGGATAAAAATTCTTAAATGTTAATTAGTTAGAACGAAATCGTGTAGAGTTCTTGTAATATTTTATCAGAAATGGAATGTTAAATAGATGAAAGTGATAAAGAGAATGAAGAAAGAGAAAAAAATATGTTTTTTTTAAACAATAACCATTAATTTTAAATACGCATAAGGGTCAGAATGGAAAATGAAACATAAAATTTAAAATGGAAGAACATTAGAGATGTTCTTGGAATTAATATTATGGAAGAACACTTCTATTTCCATGAATTATTTTTTCCCCGTTTTAAAAATTTTAACGAATCCAATAAATACGAGATACTTTTTAATGACATGAAATAATTGTAAAAATATTTTTATATAAAATCACTTGCAAAAAACAATACATAAATAAAAGGAACAGACTTTTAAAATTCGTTGTTCTGAAGAGAATAATTACATCAACTTTGTATTTTCTTTAACTCTTTGAAAATGAAGAAATTGTATTAACAAGGAATCGGAAATTTAAAAAAAAAGGGGAGAGAAAATTTCTTTAACAGACAGAACACGAAAAAAATATCTCCGCTTCAATAATTTTGAATAGAAAATCTTTTAAATGTCGCCATTTTTCCTTTGCTAATGATTTGTTTAATTACATACTCGCATTAGAAGACGAGCATTTTGTTTCGAATAAATGCCAATAAGAAGTTAGACTGTTATTAAAGAACTGTTATTAAACATAGTAGCACGGGTAGGGATGATTATTGAAGGTATTTTAATTACTTTCAAAATTGGAGAGAAGTTTTGTAACGACTTTTGGAAGGAAAATTAATTGTCGTTTGCTTCGTAAAATGACAATTAATCGTTGATCCGTAGTTTCATTTACGGGGGAGCGAAAATTTTTAATAATTTATCTAGACATTTTAATTACGATGTCAGAGAAGTAATTATTTTACTTATACAGAAAAAGAGAAAAATCCATTTCATTTGTTGTTGATGATGATGGTTGGTGAGGATTTCGATTCGTTCTTTTGAAAAACTAATTTCATTTATTTGAAAATTAAAAACTCTCGTGAAATGAAAGTAAAATATATGTTAAAGGGAAGATATTTCTTTTTATTCATATATGGTAATGAGTGAAATTATTAAAACATAGGTTAACTTTTCGAAATAAACGACGAAGCTTTTTAAAATTTAAATATGACAGCTTTTGAATTAAGCAAAAAAATAAAAGGTAAAATAAATAAATTTGGAGTTTAAGAAAAAACAGCATTTAATTAAAATATTTATTTACCAGAGTATAGAGAATTGGTTTTTGAAGGTTAAAGAGCTAATAAAATAATAAATATGAAATTTTATAATTATAAATCTGAAATTCTTTACTTCAATGTTTCACTTATGAAAGTTATTCCTTTATACATTATCAAATGTCAAAAATTTGAAGTACACACAAACTCAAAGCGTATGAATAACGTATTTTTTTAATCAATTTACAGATGGAATTGATCAATAGCAAATTTCCCATCATTATTGCAATCACTCCTATCATTAATAGTTATCCTATGTTACTAAAATTTTGATTATTACTAATATATTTAATTAATAATTAACATATTAAATAATCTACATAATTTAAAAGCAATGGAAATTTTATCATTCAAATGTATAATAATAATTCAGTATACTAATAGAAAATTAAAATGTTCGTCCGATTGTAAAAAAATGGGAAATATAGAATAATAAATTTTCTTAAGCAGACAAAGATTTTACCAACTTTGTTTGAAAAAAAAATTTTTGATATAGCTGTAGTTTATTTTTTTCTTCCTTTGCTACATTAAAAACATAGATTTACTGACTGTGATTTATACTTTTTCAAAGTGAAAAATAAAAAAAACAAAAATTTTAATTTCCTTGTATGTATGTCTCTATTATAGCCCTGAAATTATTGCACATCATTTCAGAAAAAATATTGCACATCATTTCAGAAAAAATATTGCTTGCTTTTCAGCTATAGCTTGCATTGCTATAGAAAAATCGCTTGCTTTTTTATAACTTTCAAAATTTCGCTTAAACTGTTGTATTGAAGCGATCTCAGAAATATTTATAACAAGATTCGCTTACGAACGATTTCTGTATTTAAAACAAAAAATTAAAGAGGCGTATCGTTTAATAATTTATATAAAATAGTGATATTTTTCAAATTTTACAATTGCATTTTCCACTAAAAATATTTTAAAATAACTTATGAAATCAAAAGGCTCAAGCTCAAAGCTCACCTTAGCCGAAATAAAACAAGATAAAAATTACAAAAATATACAACGAATTTATAGTTAAAAGTCAAATTCTCTGTATGCACAATTGTGCTGCTAACTTGAAAAGAATTTAATTTAAAATTAATGTAATAATATAAATATTCTTGAAAACTAAAACAACGTTTTGCCGTACAATAAATGTCGTACTAATACGGTACAGATTGCCATACAATACGTACTTATACAATTAAGCGAGGAATAACCAACCATTTTTTTTAAATATACTATAATTTAAAATATTTGGAAAAAAAATAGTTACATAATTTTAAATATTACTAAGTTTGTTTGTTTTTTTAAATTATTAGAAAAAAAATTTAATTCATAAATTCTGAAGAATTAAAGGTGATTTAAAAACAAATATGAAGAGAGATTCATATGCATTTACTTAGAAAATGGTTGATTTGTTCGAAAATCAGAAAATTCAGTTCGCACTAGCTATGAGATGGCTTCAGCAAAGAATCTATATTCTTTGGCTTCAACCCCGGCCCACTGCGGGCTCGTTTAGTGTAAAAAAAATTTCGGGCTCAGACCAATGAGAAAATTTTCATAAACTTTCTTCCTACTCTTATACAAACGCTAGGTACAATTATTAAATTATTAGTAATTAAAAATCATTAGTAAAAAATTATTAGTAATTAAAAATCATTAGTAAAAAATTATTAGTAATTAAAAATCATTAGTAAAAAATTATTAGTAATTAAAAATGCGAAATTTATTAATTGCGTGATAAAAAGGTTTAATTGACTAATTTTCTTGTTTATAGGCATCGAAGGCCTAAAAGCGAGACCGCAAAATTTGGCCGCTATCAGACATACATCTCGACTAGTCTTAGGCTCTAAGTCTAAGAAATACTATGAAACTCGGACTCGGATTAAAATTCATCGGGCTCGGACCTCCAAAAACGAGCCCCAACTTATCTCAACTTAACACTATATTTTAACACAAAAATTTAATTCTTAACGCATCGTTTATTTTATCCAAACTCATATGCATAAACATCATCACGAAAAGAAAGAAGAAAAAAATTAATTCATTCGCTACATAAAAAATTACGTGACTTTCAGATAAATATTGCGTATGCCTTTACTCGTTCAAATGCATAAAACGGAAATTATTGCATTTGTTTCTAAACAACGGGCTATTATTTAACATTAATGAAGTAGTTCTTGTTTTAACGGTTACATTTGTAGATGATATTTTACCATGATATGTTGCTGCTTGATTTCACGGTCGTAATATAATCATTTTGAAAATATTTCCGTTCTTTTTTTGTCTATTTTTTTTACCGTCGCCCATTGTGACAAAAGCTATAATGATAGCAAGGTCACTTTGGTGTGAAAATGTTTGGAACACCAACTGGAAGAAAAAGAGCCCCAAGGCTGCAGAAATTCTTATGTACATATAATTTTACCTTTGACTGTTTTTGACGACTAGTGGATTGCATGAGCTACAAGGGACAAATATCGTTAGGTAAGTCAGAAAAATCATCTTTGCTTGTAAATCTGTTAACAACTAAAATTAAAGTATAAAATACTCCGCATTCATATTTTAAATAAGAAATACGTTAAGAAATAATTTATTATGAGTATAAATAACTTTTGTAGAATAATTTGCTATCCAGTAAATGTGTAATAATTATTCTAAATATTCCAAAATAAATGGTTGAAATAGGAAAATAGAAAAAAAAATGATTTTAAAACTAACCTCTATCAATTAGTTTGCCGTAAAAATGGTATTCTTTTCTTCACTTTAAACTATTGATTTAAATTCAATTGATGCATATAAAAAGTCTTCTTTGCTAACAATTTATTCCATTTATGTGGAATAAATTGTCATATAATTATTCATATAATTCGTAAATTGTTCAAAAATTTAAGAATTGTTTTTGATTTATTCCATATTTTTTTCGACTGATTTGTATTTCTGTTCAAAATGTGGGGTAGCCGCAATCTGAGAAATCTGCTTACAATAGTTTTGGTCAGGAAGCGGTCGAAAGTTTGAACTTACTTTTGGACTTAACTTTTTCGCCATATCTAACTTTTGAAGTAAATCGAAAATTGTTGTTTACCCAATGCAGAATTATTGAAAACAATATCCATGCAGAATTATTGAAAACAATAGTTATTGTTTTTTAATAATAGTCAAAAATATTTTGAATTATAGAGTCGAAACCTTTTTAAATCATTTTAAAGGTCATTTAAAAGAACATCATTTAAACAAGATAGGTCAAATTTCCGAGAAATCTAATTTTAAAAGCGATTTTTTTTTTCAATTCGAATAAACTACTCGATCGATTTCATTAAAATTTTGTATTTTGCCATAGGAAATTATATTTTGTGAAATAATGAAGAAAAAATCGTTTACCTTAGAATTCAAAATATTTTTGACTATTCTTTAAAAAAAAAATAATAATAAATAATTATAGAAAATAATTTTCTTCATTAAATTATCTTTTCGATTCGCTCAAAAAATACTCAAGATATGGCGAAAAATTAAAATCTAAAAGTAAGTTCAAACTTGTGATCGCTTTCCTGACCAAACTATTGGAACTAAATTTCCCACATAGCGGAAAATATGGTCTTAATAGCAAGGCCGCTATGTTTTGATGGTCAGTGATCCAAATCCGTCGAAAAAACGTATGCTTTTGTAGAAAAATTATTCTTTTTATGTCTGATTCTGTGATTTAAAGATTCAGTTCCCGTGAATGAAGGTCTGTTCATTAGATCAAAAGTTATTCAGAGTATTTCGTTACTATGCTTTATTTGTTAATTTATTCTGTGAACTGTATGACTTAGGTATGTCTCACTGAAATAAAGTTTTGTTGATTTTGTGTTGTAAATATACACAAAAAACACAATATGTGCAAAACATGCATGTTGCGAAAGTATATGTACACATACAATAACATATTTACAAGGAGTAACTTCCCCCCCCCCCACCTAGACAGGAAAAAAATAATATTAAGAAAGATAAGAAAATATACAGCCACTTCTGCTTATTGTCAATATATCCGTCGCATTAATATATGAAGGAAATAAAAATTGTTGGTTACTAATTCCTAATCCCCTAAGGACTGTAGTATTTTAATAGCCCCACATTTTAATGATTTGCTCATTTAATTGTGCTAAAGACTATAGACTGAAACTGTTCGCTATTATCATATAAAGCTCTAATGAGTCTACTGAATATGATATACAGCTTCGAATTTTCTTGGGGAATAATAGTAGCTTTTTATTAACATCGCACTAGAGCTGCATAATGGGCCATTGGCGACAGTTTGAGAGACATCCCTAAAGATGATTCAAAGACAGACCTTTACAATTTCGATCATTTGCCGAACTGATGACGCGGAAGTCGAGCACTAGTAGTTTAACGAGGACCGATTACGTTAAGTTTACCACCATGGCCAAAGCCTTCCTGCTACCTTCCAATAAGTCAAGTTGACTTTAAAAGTGTTAGAGGGACACACCTTATAAGGAAATTTAATCCTTGATTTATTTATTTTGTTTATAATGTAATATCTATTTTTAGGGAGTCTTTAAAAGATAATATCTACTTGGTAAAGCCTTCGTAGGTAGTATGTCATTGTCTTTAATTCTCATCGTTGTTTTCGTGAAATACATCTTAGCAGGTAAGCTTGTTCTTTAATCTTTAAGCTAATTTGATGAAAATGTTTTCTTAAAACTCCTAAAAGTAACTGCATTGCAAAGATTTTTAAAATAATAGACGTAATAGCCATGATTTACATTCGTGACTTATGTTAAAGAAAATTCAAGGATGAATATGTAGGGGATGTAACAAAAAAGTAGAATCTTTTTAATTCGGACATGGATAATTCGTAATGCTGGGTAACTTATACTATTGTTACTAATCCGAACGTTTGACCAATTTTTTGGTTAATTTGGTAAATTACACCGGAAAAAAAACTTTTTATAAGCATGAAAAGTCCTTTTTTCAACCAATTTATTCGAAGCTACATATGAAAAATTGATAATATTTTTCATAATATTCATTATTGATTTTATGCGTTCTTCATATACATTCTTCTTTTTTTTACTGCCCCTTATACGCCTTCATTAGTGCTTATTTTTTAAATTTTGTTAATTCGAACTTTTGTCCCTTCCCCTTTGAGTTTGAAATAAAAAGAGTACTGTAGCAGTAACGTATGTATAATTTATTAACTAATTCTTACAACTACCGATTTGCTTTTTAAATAAGTCTATCTTCTTCACGCCAGTTGGCACATAGGGCCTCAATTCTCTTTTTCCTAGCACACTTGTCCTGAACCAGTCTTCTTGTCTTTTCCCATTGCAAAGTCTTGGTGCATTTATCATTGCCAAGTAAATCTCGACCTTCCTCTTTTACGTTTTCCATCGGGTGCTCAAGTAAGTGCGATATTAGCAAGACTTTCTTGTTTTAGACGAAGAGTATGTCCTGTTCTTTTCAAAGTTTTCCTGATGAATGGGTGATAATTTTGTCTCTTTAATCTTTATTTGAGATATAATTAGTTTGAAATTGTTTTAGGTCATGGTACTTATCTACTAAAGATGCCCTCCGTCATTTATTCAAACCTCCACTTAGAATTCATTTAAAGTTAACATGTCTTATATGCTAGTGAATTGAAATTGAATAGTTGTAGTGGTAGCAACGCTACATGGCCAAAAAATTTTTTAAAAAATTCTTACGCAATTGGATATCTATACGAGATAAATATTACTTTTAGGAAAATAATTATAATACTCAAACTTAAAACACTAAGATATTCTTTTGGAACACTTGATTAATTTAATATATATATTTATATATTTCAATTTGGAGTACACAAAAAAAGTTTTACTCACAACTGTAAATTCGGTTAATTCAAAAACGACTTCCTTGAAACAAAAGAGATTAATAATTGTTTATTTTATTTAATGATAATCGAAATTGCTTTACTTTTAATTTATAAAAGCTTGCATTCGATTAGTATGAGTATTTTTAACAAAAAATTTACTTTTTTTACTAATTTGATCCTATAATATCAGAAAAATAAAACATATTAAAACTGAAATTAATTTCTTTTTATTAGAAATCTTAAAATTTGGTTTATTAGAAATCTTAATTAGGTTTCTTAAAATTTCTATTTAACTGAGACTATAATCCTTCATAGGGCTGATTTTTTCTGTAATGTTATGTTTAAATATTTTTGAGATGGAGATTCGTTAATGAAGAGAAATTCATTTAACTTATTACCTGAAATTAATTTGTTTTTTTTAAGACCAATTTTTATGGGAAGGTGGGGAATTTTTTAAATTTCACTTACTGTTAAGTATTGACTACACATTTGAACTTCCGTGCTTATAAATAACCGAATTTATAAATTTTGCTTTTGAAAATACAAATGAACTCGATGAGAAATTACCAAAAGAACTAAAGCATAAGCGCATGAGAAAATTACATCAATTTAAAGAATAATATTAACTTCTTTTCTTGACCCCATGCAACCTTTATTGTTACTCTCACATTTATGTAAACAACGTCCTTCATTAATATTTATGAAGTTATCAGCAGATAGCAGCTATAGGGCATAATTAACGGCCACGGGACATGAATATGACGAATGGCGACTGAAATATTGTCTTCCAGTCGCCACCCAATCGCCATTTTTTTTTGTTGATTCGTCGTATTATTACATATTTAATGAATATGATATTGTTATGAATAGTTTAGAATATTATAAAAATTATTTTATTTTACCTTTGTTTCACCGAAATAATTTTCCCTTTTTTAAAAAAAATTCTGATATTCATCATATTTTAAGAAATGCCTTAAATTTTTAACCAACACAAATTATATTTAAATTTTAATTAAGTACCAGCAGTTCATTTAATAGTTTAAAATTTTCATTTTTTGAAGAAGAAAAAAAGTAGTCACTGTTAAAAATTTTTCAACTGGCGTCTGGCCAGCAGCTAAATTTCATAATATTGCCCCAAAATAGCCGCACCAATTATCGGTCGGAAAAAAGCTTCCCATAGTATCAACATTAAAGAATTTATGAAATTGGTGGGAAGTTTATTTCCCATGGTCTTATAAACAGTTAAACGCAGGTCTTATAAACAGTTAAACGCAGGTCTTATAAACAGTTATAAACAATTAAACAGATAAAACAGTTAACAGCTAAACAGTTAAAGTTTGACCCATATTATTATCCATCTGAATATTTTGTTTTAGAAATAAAGCATACTGCAGGGGGTAATGATTATTGCATCATTGATGGCCGTCCATTCAGAAGTGGTGAACGCATCCCTCGAAACCACGTGTGTCACATATGCTTGTGTCATTTGGGAAAAGCTGAATGCTCTTGGATGAACTGTCCTCCTCCACCGGAAGGGTGCACAGAATTTTCAGTTTCCAACTACTGTAATCCTACACTATATATATGCTGTGAGTATTATTCAAAACACTTATAATCGAATGGGCGACAAAAAAATCCCAACACCAAGAAGGAGCTGTGCTAGATAAACTAAATTTGGTAGGCTAGTAGCACCACTGTGAACATGCAAATCAGGGTGGTTTTAAATGCGTGTTCTACAGTTCGTAAGCGTTATTTGTCGTTAAATTTTGACATAGTGAGTTGCTGTTAGTGAAGAATGCGTTTAAGAAAACGGAGAAGCCAATATCAACACCTCACTAACTTTGAACGCGATCGTGTAATAGGGCTGCGAGAACGTGGATTTTTTCCCCCGTGATATTGCAGAAAGACTGGAAATAAATGTATCCAATGTGCATGATTGTTGGCACCAGTGGTCAAGAGAAAGTACTGCTTCAAGAAGACCGGTTTCTGCAACACTACTCAGAGGGAAGATACGGCACATAATTGTGGTTCGCCGTACTGCGTTTGCTTTAGAAATTCTAGCTGCAATTAGACCTGCAGCGACACTAAGAAGTGTTACAAATCGGCTACTTCAAATACAGCTTCGATCTAAGCTCCCTGTAGCTGGCATTCCACTTTAAATCACTGCCGTTTAAGACGTGAATGATGTCGAATTATAACTCACTGAAGAAAGTTGGATCTGCCTTGGCGCCAGTGATAGCCGTATATTGGTTGGAAGAAGACCAGGAGAGCATCTACTACCGACCTGATTCTGACCTAGACACGCTGGACCTACAACTGGAGTTATGGTCTGGGAAGCAATTTCCTATGACAGCAGAAGCGCTCTCGTTGTTATTCCACTCATCTTGACTGCAAATTTACTTGGTGATTCAACCCGTTTCTTGTCATTCATGAGCAGCATTCAAGAGAATATTTTCCAACAGGATAACGCTCGCCCTCACACCGCTGTTGTAACCCAACATGCTCTACAAAATATCGACATGTTGTCTTGACCTGCTAGATCACCAGATCTTTCACTTATCGAGCACGTATGGAACAATATTGAACGACAACTAGGTCATCCACAACGAGCATTAGCTATCCTCGCATTGACTGATCAAGTGCAACAAGCATGGCACTCCATTCCACAACATGACACACGGCATCTGTATTACACAATTCATGCCCGTTTGTATGATTGCATTCAAAATTCTGGTGATTACACCGGGCTGGTGGTTATTAATGTACCAGTATTTCACATTTGACATCGTCTTTCTCTTAATTACAATAACCTGTGATCTTGAAACTTTAATCAATTAAATATGTTACCAGAAATTTCATTATTCAACAATAATTTTTTCTTGGTGTTGGGATATTTTTCCATCAGTGTATATACTTGTTTTAAGTGGTAAAAAAATTAAGTGGCGTCGGATTTTTTAACAAAAATATGTATCTCTACCCTAAATAGAAAGCCGGGATAACCTGAAAGATAGGACGTTTGGGCCAAGTTGTAAAGGTCTATCCCCACCTACTCCCCGTGTAGTAAATGGCGACTGGTGCACGTTAAATCTGTCGGGTCACAAATTCTCCATGTTGCCATATAAACGGGCTGTGGCGCATGTGTGTGATAACCTGTATTTAGTTATCAAGTTCAAATTTAAACTTTATAATAAAGTTTTTTTTCTGTATTTGGATTTGGCTTTTACTTAAAGGCTGTAATGACTTTCATACTTTTACGGCAAGAGTTAATAATTAATTCGACATTCTACTGATTTCATGCGGCAAAAGTTAATAATTAAATATAAACGGAAGAAGTTGTCAGCGAGTTGTTATTTGAATTCCTTCATATTCATGATCGACAAATTGTACCGATATTTCTACGCACATGGGGTACGATATGGCACGTTCGCGTATGAATGATCTGCGCAGTGCAGTTACAACAAAACAACCTCATTTTTTTACAGAGTTTGCCTATATCATACGTACATGAATGCGTTAGATGCTACGCTAAATCTCTCTAATAATCATATTATACCTATATTTTCAAATTTAAGTCATTGTAAAATTCTCTACGTGCAATCGCAGGGTCGGTCTGGCTCTTATTAAGGCCTTACCATAAACCAGTAGTTATTTTTCTTCAAAACAGGTAAAAACTTTTACTTGCCATTAACTGAAATAACAGAGCAGGCACAATTTGAGGAATACATCACGGCTTTGAGGGGCCAACTCAGAACATTACGTTCTTAAACGTGCGATATGACACGTGAAATGCTAATGCTAAGCCTCTTTAGCTTATCGTAGTTTCTGTAAATTGTCTACCAAGCTTCGTTCCCATCAGGGGTAAAATAAATAAATGCAGCTCTATCTTCCTCGTAGGACTATTATTTAAGCTGTAACTTATTCGAATTTTGGTAGGCCAACACCATGGATGTTGAAGGATGGTACTATATGATGATACTATAGTCTCCATGGCCAACACAGTCAAGTCTAAGATGCGTCATGTCACATTCTTCGCTCTTGGACTTGTATAAAGATTGCGTTGAGTAGACAAACGTTGTCATTTGAATGTTAATGATCAATTGGTGCATCCGTTAGTAAAAAGTTGCAGTTTTGTAATTGCTCACGTTTTTTTTATTATTATTAATTTAAACCATTACAAACTTTTCGTCAGAACAAGTATTAAATATAGGATTTAAAAATAAAAACTTATTAAAAAATTAATTACCAGAAAAATGGTTCTGTAGCCGAATACCTCATAAAGTCACGCTTAGGACTGGGCTATAAATCGATATATCGCGACATATCGATTTAACGCCTATATCGGCAAACCGATACAGCAACTTTCATTCCAANGCTATGCCTAGGCCCCACGAAAGGTATAATCCGGCTCTGGATGTATGAATGGGTTCGCCCTATAAACGCACTATGACGTATGTGTGTGATTACCTGTATTTAGTTATAAAGTTCAAATTTAAACTTTATAATAAAGTATTTTGTTTCCTGTACTTGGATTTGGCTTTTACTTAAAGGATGTAACGACTTTCATACTTTTACGGCAAGAGTTAATAATTAATTCGACATTCTACTAATTTCAGGCGGCAAAAGTTAATAATTAATTCTAAACAGAAGAAATTGTCAACGTCGAAACAGAACCAGATAATATTTGAATTCCTTCATATTCATGAACGACAAATTGTACCGATATTTTTACACAAGTTGCGTAAAGAGATTTGGCAATTTCACATAGCGTACGATATGGCACGTTCGCGTATGTGTGATCTGTGCAGTTTCAACAAAAAAAAATCTCATTTTTCTACAGAGTTTGCCGATATCATACGTACATGAATGCGTTAGGTACTACGAAAAAACGCTAAATCTCTCTAATAATCAAATTTAAGTCATTGTAAAATTCTCTAGGTGCAATCACAGGGTCAGCCTGGCTCTTATTAAGGCCTTAGCATAAACCAGCGGTTATTTTTCTTCAAAACTGGTAAAAACTTTCACTTGCCATTAACTGAAATTACAGAGCAGGCGCAATTTGAGGAATACATCACGGCTTTGAAGGGCTAACTCAGAGCATTACGTTCTTAAACGTGAGATATGATATATGAAATGCTAAACCTTTTAAGCTTAGAGTTCCTATAAATTGTCTGCCATGCTTCGTCCCATCAGGGGTAAAAGAAATAAATGCAGCTCTATCCTCCTCGTAGGACTATTATTTAAGCTAACTTATTCGAATTTTGGTAGACCAACACAGTCAATAAGTCTACGATACGATGCGTGATGTCACGTTCTTCGCGCTTTGGCTTGTATAAAGATTGTGTTGAGTAGACAATCGTTGTAATTTGAATGTTAATGTTCAATTGGTTCATGGTCTTATAAAAAGTTGCAGTTTTGTAATTGCTTACGTTTTTTTTAATTATTAATTTAAACCATTGCAAACTTTTTGTCAAGACAAGCGTAAAATATAGGATTTAAAAATAGAAACTTATTAAAAAATTAATTCCCAGAAATATGGTTCTGTAGCCGAAGACCTCATAAAGTCACGCTACATTTACGATATTATACTTTTCGAAGTCTGTTTATAATTATAATTATTTTACAGCAATACCTGAACATCTGAAGCATACAAGGGAACGAAGAAGCGCTGAAAATTTTTCTTCACATCCTGACAAGCTTTTAAAGCAATCGAATAAAAGAAAAAGGTCTCTAGGTGAGAATTTTTTTTTAAATTCTGAATCAGAATGATTTTTTATTTATTTATATATATACATACATATATTTTTTTTTGAGGAGAGACTGCATAATTCCAAAGAGACTTCCACAATGCTGGTATTCTCTGGCCTAGTAAAGAGTAATTTTTTCAGCACAAACTGATAAAAACTATCTATATTATAATAATTATCTATAACTGGTTAAGCAATTTTAGTTTCGTTGCAGCCACAAAAACTTTTAAATCTTCATTTTTTTTCCTTCTCTATATTATTACTGCGGTCGAAAAATACAGCTTCTTAGACAATATTTTTTTGAAATTGTAATTATATTTGTTTTCTTAGAATAAACATACCATAGCGGTCAGAATTTTGGACTTCTTAATATTAATTTCAATTTTTGCGGATTTCACCGGATTTCTGAATAAGCGAATTTAATATTTTTTGCATATAATTCCAAAAAAGACAAATTTTATAAACTTACAAGATATACAATTATCCACAGATAAATCCAAGTAGAGAAATTTTTTTAATTTAGAATGGACAAATAACTAGAAAATGTAAAAAGTTATGAAACTTTTTTTAAAAAATCGCCAATTCGGCGATATTTTTCTACCTAAATCAAAATTATGAAAACTAAAGCATTATTCCCATTTTTTGCAAATTTTCATGAGCCTCGATAATGCATTATTGGAGTAAGTTTTTAAATGTAAAAAAACTGGACTGCAAACGCTTTTCATTTTCGCAAAACTATGATAGCTTTTCTCCATATTGACGTTTTGCTCCATGTTCAGAATAAACATAGAGGGCGCTGGCTAAAGATTGGCTAAACTTGACCTAACAGTCATAAGTAACTGTTGAAAACTCACGTTAAACACAATTTAAACTCACGTTAAACACAATTTAATTGTGCTAAAAAAACACAATTTAAAAAATAGCATATTATTTGCAAAAAGTTTCATTTTCTGAGACTACAAAGCCTTCGAAACCTCCTCCAGTTATTTGAGCATTTTAGCCAGTCGTAGAGAACCTGAATTGGAAGAGGACTTGAACGCGGTCAAATTTTGTCCATAGATGTTGGAGTACTCTACACTGAAAACTGGCAATTCTCGCTTCCAAGACGCTACTCGAACAAGCTTTTTTTATCGTGTTAAAATGGATCAAAATTCAAATTATGTTTGACATAAAATAAGTGCTAGAAAGGTGATACTATTTTTCTATTATGAAGTTTTATTTTTAATATCTATCTTATTCTAAGGGCGATGCATAGAATTAAACATAAAACTTAAAATTATTACTTAAACAATAAAAAATAATAATTACTTAAACATTAAAACTTCAACATTCCAAATTTTCATTTATAATGAATGTTTATTGTCTACTGATTAAAACAACCATCATAGAGAGTTTTCTGACCTACTTATTTGGAAGGAAAAAAAAATCTGGGAATTCAAATCATATAAGAGAGATTAAAAATTATATGCTTCATTATTCTTTATGTTGACGTTTTCAAAAAAGATTTAAGTATTTTTAATGGAGCACAAAAGGGGAAAAAATTAAGAGTAATAAAAATGTATAGTGATTTAGTGATTGTATGATATTCGTATTCTTTTTAACAATGTACCACTTTTTTGAAAACTAGGGGGCGGTTTCAGAAAGAAATCATCATCAGGTTTAAAAAAATTTACATTCTAATAAGACAAATATCAAACTTTAATCCTATATTTTACCATCAGAAACTTCGCCCTTGCCGATGTACTAACTGTGGAAGGTTTTCGTGGTTTTTCTTTCCATGTAACGCAAATGCAGGTTAGTTCCATCAAATTCTCAACGAAGGCTACTTTGCCCCAATGCTTGATCCAAGAGTTCCCTTGTTTTCTGGATTGGGTTCAAAACTACAAGGATACGGAGTTGAGCATTTGTAGTCATAAACTCAGAATTAGGGCCGTTGTTATAAACCGGATATAAAAAACAAAAACTTCAAGAACCGCGGTGGCTCAGGGGATAGAGCGTGTGCCTCTGAGGTGACCCACGTTTGAATCCCAGCGTCTGGTGGTTGATACGAACTCTGCCCCCGTCTCGCATCGACCACAGAGTTGAAGGAAAAAAATCAGGCTAACCATAGGTGGGTTCCATCAAAAACTTTTCCACGAAGGCAAACTTCTCCCAATACTTGATCCTGGAGTTCCCCTGTATTCTGGATTGGGTTATTTCGAAATTTCCTTTTTTTCAAGAGTTATTGAAATTCAAGTGCTTATTTTTTTTTTTTAATTTTTTGCTTTAAATATTGACTTTTTACGCGTTGTAGAAAAATTTATCTCGTTCGAGATCTTTATTTTTTGAGTTTGCGCTTGTATTGATGTCAAAGGCAATAGAAGAAATGAGTAGATATATTAATAAAAAAAAGTGAGTTATTAGATATTTCTATATGTAAATCATAAAATTCAAATCGTCAAAATTTTTCAGATTATAAAATGTTGTATGATGCAAGGTTATCGTTATATATAGTTAAAGTTTAAAATTATTTTTCTTTTATAACTACTTATTAAGTCCCACAATCTGTATTCCTTAAATTAATTTTTTTTTCAAAGTGAGGAGATTATATTTAAGCTATATTTAAACTATATTATAAACTATATTATAACGATTATATTATAACTACGCAATCTTCTATCCCCTTCCTGTAACGCATATGCTGGTTATTCCATCAAAAAGACTTGCACAAAGGCTAGTTTGTACCAATGCTTGATCCAGGCGTTCCTTTGTCTTCTGGGTTGGATTTTGAAAATTATAGGACTATGAAGTTGAACATTGATAGCCGTAATATTGAAATTAGGTCGACTGTTCAACGCCGATTATAAAATTAAAATAAAATAACGAAAATTCAAAAATCTTCCACGAAGGTCAGTTTGTCCCAAGATGCTTGATCCAGGAGTTCCCTTGTCTTCTGGGTTGAGTTCGAAATTACACGGCTACGGAATCATTGTTATAAACTCAGAATTGGGTCGGTTGTTCAACGAAGGTTATAAAAAAAAATAAACTTAACGAATGTGTGGAAACTCTTACGTAGGAAATTAAATTACTATTGTTGTATTTAAACATTCCTAATATGAAAAAAAAGCATGCAATTTTACAAAGATTACAGAAAAAATTTCGATTGCTAATAATTGAAGTGCTTAATAACAGCATAAAAAGCATGCAAGACACTTAAAGTAAAATAAAGAAGTATTTAACTTTACACTTCATATATTTGCAAGAAAAATAATGGGTCTTAAAAATAATTTTGATTTTAGGAACTATCATGAGTAATAACAAATGAACTATATAAATTAAAATATATTTAAAAGAAAAAAACGATTTTGTATTTTTTCTTTGGAAAAAAATTCTATGTTCACTCTAATATGCATTCTTATTACACAAAACTGTAATTTAAGTTACTGAAGTTGTTTTGTTATGCGCCCGCATCCTATGTCTAGAGATTTTTTTTTCTTTCTTGGGAACCACATTTGGCGCACTTTTAATGGCACTGTTTTCGCCACATGCCGAAACCTCGTTAATAATCGAAAATCGTATTGCAGTGATATTTTAACAACACAAAACATGCATTTCATAATTTAAGAAAAAAAACTGCAAATCTTTATCAAATGTTATCTTATGGGTCGTTGGCGGGAAAAGGACAGTCGGTATGTGTCCTCCTTAATTGTTAGAATTCTCTTAAAAGACCACTCAATATTTCAGATGAGAAAAAAAAAATTCGCAAATTATCATCGATTTAAATTCCTTAACACGTTCATGCCGGGAAAAGTGAAAATACTGGTACGGGAAAAGAGAAAATACTGGTAGAAGAACTATTTCAATATTAGATAATATTCTTAACAATAACAATTCACTGTAAGGAAATTTATCACGGCAAAGAAGCAATTCAATATGAAAATTGCATCCGTTAAAAACAATTGGTAGTTATGAATTTTTATTATTCCCGAAAAAAAACAAAAAAATTAAATTTATTTGTTACCAGTTTTTACTCCGGTGTGCTGCCAAGATGAGACAATCTAGCGTGACCCACCGGNTAAACGCATTACGAATTAAGTCTCTTTTGATTTTTATTATTCCCGAAAAAAAATTACATTTATTTGTTACCAGTTTTTACTCCGGTGCGCTGCCAAGATGAGACTATCTAGCGTGACCCACCGGTGGGTCACCCCGTCGTGAACGTGTTAAAGTTTAAAGCAAGAAATTTATAAATAATATTTTTGAAGGTATATCGCACGCTTTTAAGTTCCTTTTTCTTCTTATGTGTGAAATTTAGAAAACTATCCTGACTGTGTAACTTAGTTTCGTCCCCCTCAAAAATTGGACCCATCCGAATCCCATGCCCGAAAGCAACAAGCTTATTACCTACAAATTTCATAAAAACATAGCAATATGTACACACAAGGCTATTTAACGTCGCTTAAGCAGGAATATCAAGAAAAAATATATAGAATAATAAACACATTGAAGTTACTCACTGATAAAACGTGTATCCTACTTATTTCCCTCAAAATAGTAATAAAAAATTGACACCGCAATCATTTTAAAACTTTTCACATGCAACAAATTTACTTTGAAGTAAACTTTCCCGAGCTCTATTCAAAACAACGCGCTTCTAAAAATGATAGTCTCCCTAAGTACTAGACAACAAATCGCAAAGGATAGGACGAAGATTCCACGCATCACTTAAAAATTAAATTAAAACACTCGTATCTCTTCAAAGTTGCTATGAAAATTCACTACTAATCAAAAACAACCGAGCAATTCCTTAACCTTAAAATAATAATAAACATTGAAGGTTTTCGTCGAAACCTTTGCTCATCCCACACTCCCGATCATTATATCACAATTTGTTTCTTGCACAAATACAATCGAAAATCCCGCAAAAGGATTATTTATCTGTACCAAATTATTAATACTTGGTTTAAATTAAAAACAAACTTAACTTAATACTAAAAGAACATAAACAAAAGTTAAACAGCAAACATTAGGGCACCAAAACGCCTTGAAGTAATATCGCTGAACTTCGATTAAAAAGATTATCTTAAATAATATTTTCGATAGAAATATTGTTCGTGGTAGATTGAAACATTAGTTTTACTATATTCAATAATTATTTTACCTTCATGTTCATTCTACAAAGAGCAAAATATATTAAAGTGTCTAACAATAAAAATAAATTCAGATAGCGAATAAGTCATCTATTGTTTGCAACAATTTTTATATTAACTATTACTATTATTTTATATTTACTATAACTATTATTACTATTCTTATTGCAAAAAAGCAATTAATAAAGTTTTTGCTTACCTTTGTTTTCTCAGAATATTAATTTCTTAGAACAAACGATTTGAACGTTATTTGAAGGGGGAGTTTCCAAATTAACTTTTTCAAAATTTTGATTAACAATAAGTTCCTTTTTGCGATAATGTATCGATAAATTATGCTCTTGGTGATCATCGGGAAAGGGTTGAAACTCGCGATGTCATCCAGCATAGAACTCCAGTTAAAATCTGGGTGCTCTAGCTAGTCGAAAAGTGGTTGGAAGTTTGGCCTGAGGGTAATCATGATATCAATTTCATATGTCGAAAATTCTGCTTGTAGTGGTTAAGGAACAATTGAAACTTACGTTGTTAATTGTGCATAGCTCCAAACGAGATTTGAGTGCTGTAGCTAGTCAGATAGTACAAGATTCAAGTACAAGATTCCATTTTCATACACACAAAAGCAGGATCATAAAAACTTAGTAATATTTTGACGAGTGAAACAGTAACGAATAATAATGATAATAGAATATTATTTTAAACTACAGTTCATTTTTTTTAATTCCAGGTGATTGTAATGTTCTTGGAGTACCATACAAAACTGGGGATTTGATGGGAGTAGCGAGCAGTTTTTGCATGGAATGTCGATGTGGGAAACAGAACATGTTTTGCAGTCCAAGGTGTTGCTTTCAATATGCGGATTTCAACGAGAATACAACTCTGAGAGAGCAACAGCAATATTTTCGTCCACAACCTCATCCTCTTCACTATCTCAAATAAATTGCTTGCAAAGCATCAAACTACTACATTTTTTTATGATACAAGTTTTGAAAGATATGAAAAACAACTTTTTTTCTGATAAAAAAGAATGTTCACTTTTATAGAAATTGATTGTAGTTTTCAATATTTTAAATAAATTTCTAGTCATTAGTCATTTTCTTTTGACTTTTTATATCAACCGTTTTGTTATCACCATCCTTAATATAAGGTAAGTGACTTAAATATAGGGTCCCCTAATTATTTTAACTGTTCTTATTTTCATTTCAGATAAAAATTTGGATATTGGTCGTTGTATTCTACTTGCAGAGAATAAGAGGAAAAAACATGAGATCTGAGTTTTGAACATCGGGCAGTTGCAATAATGGACAGGACCCATGTTGATAACTCGCCTCCCAATGATGCTCGCCTCCCAATGACCCTCATTCGAATCTCAGCGATGGCTGGTCTATCCGAATTTCACACCCGGTTCGCACCAATCACAGTGCTGGAATAAAATATCCTCAGTGGTAGACGGATCATGGGTAAGAGTCCCCTTGTCGCCAGAAGAAGCAGTGGGAGATTTTTGTGGTTTTTCTCTCCATGTAACGCAAATGCCGGTTAGTACCATGAAAAAAGTTTTCCACGAAGGCAAACTTCTCCCAATATTTGATCCAGGATTTGCCCTGTCTGGTAGACCGAGTTCAAAATTACAAGGCTACGGAGTTGAACATTGGTAATCTTAAACTCAAAATTGGGTCGGCTGTTTAACGACGGTGATGAAATTAAATAAAATAAGACCTAAAGTCAACTGGAAACTTTATTATAAGTCGTTATAAGATGGACTTGCAAAAATAAATTGTCTGAGTTGAATGAATAAGTTTTATTCGTTCAATCTTCATATACCTTTCTAATCTTAAAAATTAATTGATCTGATTAATCAATGGATGAATAAAATCATAAAATTACCCAACTCAATTTTTAAAAAAAATTCTGATCCTCGGGGAACGTATGTATCTTTTGCTAAACTCGAAGTTGAGTCCATATAGTGAACTATTGCTTGACCATGTCATTATCTCTTTGAGTTATATCAGATCCAATGAATCAGTAAGAGCCCACTAGGGCTGTTACTGAATCACAAGTACAAATCTAAGTCGTCCTAATCTAACCTTAAGCGAGTTGATCAAGAGACTTCATAACTGAATAGGCATCACGTTCATATTACTATTGTTAAGTGTTTCTGAAATTTACGCTACATGACTTTAAGTAGTTCTTGAAGGTTTTTGTATCATACACCAACACCATGAATAGACTACCAACACTACCTGTTTATTTCAGAGCATTATGTGGAAAAACAATTCTGTCCTGATAACATTGAAGGCCCAATCTCCTGCATAAAATACGGAAAACAAATTTCTTAACTCACATTAAAGTTTACTGCATTTTTTTTCTCGATTTGCATGTTAATCGCAATTTTAATCGAAAATAACTTCAAACTGGAGACAGGGCCAAAAACGTTTCAATATAAATTATTCTAATATCAGTTTTAATATAAATTTTTTTAATGCCATAAAAAAAAGGTGCATTCTTTCAGACAGATTCAGAAACGCTACATAAAACATTAAGAAAAAAGTTGGAATTTGGGCCTTTTAATTTGCACGTCTGAAGACAACTTTGAAACTATACAGTTATTTAGCAATTAAGGAGTCTAGATCACAAACAAAGTAAGTCCAGATGCAGAAGTCCCGCAGTGGACTGATCGTTAAGACACGGTTCCCATTAGATCACCGAAGTCAAGCATCACTGGCTACGGTCAGTGTGCGNAGAGAGCAACAGCAATATTTTCGTCCACAACCTCATCCTCTTCATTATCTCAAATAAATTGCTTGCAAAACATCAAAACTACAGATTCTATGATACAAGTTTTGAAAGATGTGAAAAACAACTTTTTTTCTGATAGAAAAGAATTTTTATTCTTATAGAAATTGATTGTAGTTTTCAATAATTTGAATAAATTTCTAGTCATTAGTCATTTTCGTTTGACTTTTTATACCAACCGTTTTGTAATCACCATCCTTAATATAAAGTAAGTGACTAAAATATAGGGTCCCCAAGTTGGTCGTAAATATGTGATTAAACTGGAATTCGTAACTGCTAGCTCAAACATTACAAATTAATGCCATTCAATCAGGAAAATCACATCAAAAATTAAACATATACAAGTCAAAGGTAGACAGGTACTTTATGTCACACTAGAGTTGCACAATCGGCCATTGGTGGCGGTCTGGGAAACATTTCTGAGGATGATCTGAAGGCATGCCAACACAATCCTCTGCCCGCTACAGCTTTGGTAGCCCGACGTGAAGTCGAGCACTTTACGATAGAATAGTTTAACGAAGAAGTCAAAGTATTAAATCGTTAGAGTTGAATCAATGAGTTTGATTCTTTCAATCTTCATATACCTTTCTAATCTTAAAAATTAATTGATCTGATTAATCAATGGATGAATAAAATCATAAAATTACTCTATTCAATTTTCTAAAAAAAGAAAAAAAAATCGGACACTCGGGAACGTATGTACCTTTTGCCAAACACTTAGTTGAGTCCATATAGTGAACTATTGCTTAGCCATTTTTTTATCTTATCGCTTTGAGTCATATCAGATCCAATGAATCATTTATGCTACATGACTTTAAATTAATCAAGTGTTTGTAAGTAGTTCTTGCAGGTGTTTGTATCATACACCAACACCATGAATAGAACACTCTACCTGTTTATTTCAGAGCATTGTGTGGAAGGACAATTCTGTCCTGATAACATTGATGGCCCTATCTCCGAAGAACAAAATTCTGCATAAAATACTGTAAACAAATTTCAGAACTCACATCAAAGTTTATTATATCTTTTTTTGTGTGTGTGTGTGCGTGTGTGTGTATGTTACTCGCAATTTCAATCAAAAATTACTTCAAACTAGGTAGGGTCAAAAACTTTCAATATAAATTATTTTAAGATAAAAAAAAATTTTATACCATAAAAAAAGGTGTATTCTTTCAGACTGATCTGGAAACGTTACATAAAACATTAAGGAAAAAGTCTGAATCTGGGCCTTTTAATTTGCACGCCAGAAGACAACTTTAAAAATCTACAGTTATTTAACAATTGAGGAGCCTAGATCACAAACAAAGTAAGTCCAGATGCAGAAATCGTTGGCTGATATTACAGTTGAGACCTGTTCTTGTACTAATCGAAACGGCTATGTCGTCTCCAGTTAAGTAAAACAGCTATTAAAATAGCAATAAAATTTTTTTTTTTTTTAAGAACTTGAACATGCAGTAAGTCTTTCAATATTAAATATTATACTAATTCAATATGCATGACATGATAAAAAAAAAAAAGAGAGTAGCAGTCATTTATCATTTATGGATTATATCATTTATGGTTTGAGTGGCGAAAGTTAGTGATTTTGAAAGTTCACTATTCGTAGTTGAACCCTGATAAGGTTTATTCCCCGAAGTAACGGAAGAATCATGACACTCTTATGAGAATAGCACACAAGCGCTTCATTGAAGTTGGACATATTTAACTGTAGAAATTTCCAATTCAGTTTTTCGAGAATACATAATGAAGCCTCATTATTTTACTCAAGAATAAATAATGACGGAAATACAATGGTTAAGTGGTATTGCCCTTCCGTTGAAAGCTCAGAAGGTAGAAGGTAGCGAGTTCGAATTTTGTCATAACCCTGAGTGTATCTTTGTGCTGACGCTCTCTAGTTTATTCTATCTGTTCTTCAACTTTAATAGAGTTTAATGATATTGAACCTAAAATCCTGGATATGTATGTGTAGCAATAATAAACACGAACCTCCGTCCTTTTATGTTGTAGCTCTGAAGAATGAATAATGACGGAACGACGATGGTTAAGTGGCATTGTTCTTCCGTCGAAAGCTCAGAAGGTAGGAGATAGCGAGTTCGAATTCCGACATAATCCTGAGTGTAACTTCGTGCTGCCGCTCTCTAATTTGTTCTATCTGTTCTTCAATTTCAAGAGAGTTTAATGATATTGAACCTAAAATCCTGGATATGTATGTGTATCAACAATAAACACGTTTTGTACCCGTGTTACTGGGGTTAGTTGATAACTTTGGGACACGAACCTCCGTCCCTTTATGTTGTAGCTCTGAAGACTAATCTCGCAACCACGCATGCTCTAGCACTTCCTTCATTCTATGAAATAATATGATGCATTTTGAAATTGAATGTTTAAACTTAGATAATAGAGTTTTACCAAATTAGAAAATTCATTAAATTAACCAATCTTTTACGGAAAACTAATTACAATATCTAATTTGAATTAAACGCATTACGAATTAAGTCTCTTTTCCTATTAAAACGGAAATAACGTTCATATAATATTTTCATTGAATTATATTTTATATCAACTCTGTCATAAAACCTGTTTATGATCACGCTTGCTTATTACGCATGCGCAATGATGTTTTTGCCAAGATTGCAAATGGCGGAAAGTCTGTTGTTTCGTGAAGGAGGTTAATTATATTAATAAAGCGTATAGAAGACAAATTTTATTTAAATATAGGTTTTTTTTTATTTATTTAGAAGCAGGGTAAGTTCTTTTAAGTAATTAATTACTTATAATTTGCAATTGCTGTTTATCTTTTACAAATTGTGTATCAAACTTAGTCGTCACTTAGCACATGCTCAGTATGCTTTAGTAAAATTTATTGGCTTAGTTATCTGCTTATAAACTATTTAATTATTTTATTATCACTCCATAATGCAAAATCTTAACATACAATACTTTTCGATAATTTTTCAAAATTTTAATAAAGTGTTTCAACTTGCGTATCAACTCTAATTTTATTGTCTTAGTGCGTTAACTCAAATTTGCTTTATGACATTCATTGTTACGTTTCCAAATTCACTTTTAATTGCTTTAATATCGTTACACAATTATAAGCTCCTTATGGTGTAATAGTTCTTCATATATATAATTTATAAAATTAGTATTGTCCCTAAAATTTAAAAAATAAGTAGTTCGAATAGTAAGAACATTGCTGAAAGATTTTAGTTGAAAATTTACTTTGTTTGGGAACAATTAACATATATTATTTAACATTAAAATAATGGGTATATATAAAAGTTATATATTAATAAAAGTTGTACTTTTATATACTAAGTTTCATATTTACAATAGCTATGAAATGCTGAGTATAAAAATTTTAAATAATACCATTCATGATGCAAAGCATATAATAAATAGTACAAGTATAAATTGGTACAATGCAGCTATACATAGATTATATTTAAATGCGTAAATGATATATGTAAAATTATCTGTATACGTTGAAATGGAAATTATATTTTAAGGATTGCAAATAATATTTCAAATCTTTTGCAAAACAAGCAAATAATGTTCTTAAAAATTTGATGAAATTCGAATAATAGCTATTTATAAACTCAGAATGCAATTAAAGGTAGCTATGAACCAGGTTTGAAACATACTCAAAAATGGTCAATAATTTATTCGGCTCATTTTCAATTTTCTGTAGTCTATTTTTTCTGTAGATGTTTTTATAGATTCGTTTTTGCGTCTGTGTGGATGGATTTTTGCTATAGAAAATTCAAATTTCCGACTAATTAGAGCACACATATTTCGAGGGAGTTTGGTGGCTGGATGCGAATTTCAAATCATTTCTGAATTAGTTTTAATTGTTCCCTGAATTTAGATTCTCTGTGCTCATGAAATTACGCTATCTTCAATCAAAATCCCGACTAACTAGAATGCTCAAATCTTCACTGAATTTGAACTGTTATCCTCTGATTTTGTTAATATCATAATACAAGAGTTTCAATTGTTTTCAGACGGCTACAAACAAATTAAAAAACCTAAGGAAATTGGTCTCTAATCGAGATTTTGACCACGTTACAACTAGCGAGATTACTCAAATTTTAGCTTGAGCTCTGTTCTGAAGGACAAAATTTCGACTGCCGTATGAGCTGTCTAAAATTTTATTGGTGCTCTGTGCCGGTTTTAGTCTTTTCCTAACCGTTTCTAGTTGAATTCATATCGCGATTTATTATGTTGAATTTATCCTCAAACGAAATCTCTTCACCTTTCGATTATCTAGAGTGCTCAAATTTCAACTGCAGTTCTGTACTTGATATCAATACAAGTTACAATTGTTACCTATTCGTGCAAAAAAAGAATTTATCACCATTTTATTAATAATCTATTATTCTACCATTAATTCTTTGACCTTTTCCTGACTTATACTAAAGAACACAAAACTAAAATAAAACAAAAATACTAAAATCTACGATGTTTTCAAAGTAGACTTCAATAGAAAATATCTTTTTACCAGACCTAATACAAAAAAATATAAACTGCATCTTTCTCCGATAAATTTATTTTCCTATCCCCATCATTTTCATAATCTATCACCACCAAAACTACTCCGCCTTATGCGCACACATATTTCGTAAGTGGCACTTTTTAGACGTGACAAAAATATTTCCTTTTTTCAAAATCTACTTAATTACACATTTTAAGTCCCGCAGTGGACTGATCGTTAAGACACGGTTCCCAGCAGATCACCGAAGTCAAGCATCACTGGCTACAGTCAGTGTGTGGGTGGATGACCACTTGGATCAGCCTGCGTAGGGACCGAGGGTGTGCGGTATTGGTCCTCGTTAAACTGTTCTACCGTAAAGTGCTCAATTTCGCGTGCAGGTCGTCGGGCTACCGAAGCGGGGGTGCCATCCCCTCTGCAGAGGATCAAAATTGTGATGGCATGTCTTCGGATTATCTTCAGGGATGTTTCCCAGACCGTCGCCAATAGCCCATTGTGCAGCTCTAGTGCGACGTAAATGAACAACAACAACACATTTTAATAATATAAAATAAGAATTTACAAATTTTTAACATTTTTCATAATTTAGAATTTAATGCTGAGAAGTCACAGTAACATTTTTACATGCTCTTGCTTGTTAATTATACTTAAATTATACAAGGAAATTTCCAATATTTTAGCTCCCACAGTAGACGATCGTAAAACACGATTCCCAGTAGATTAACAAAGTAAGACATCACTGGCAGCCGTAAGTGAGTGGAGTGGTTCACCGTTTCATTAAACTGCGAAGGGACCAAGAGTTTGCGGTATCGATCCTCATTAAGCTTTTCTACTGTAAAGTGATCCAAAATAGATTTTTTTTAACCTATGTATATTTCTGCGCCTCGCACGCATACACACATTTATTCGAGTAACTCAAGAATGACTGCATCAAGATAACATGCTACCGAATTTTTGTTTCAATTTTCAGGAATAAGTTTAAGTATACTAGTATAAAATACCCTTACTTATGTCCTTCGTTTAATAAAAAACAGATATGAACCTAACCTATTAGTCTTGGTGCATCAAAAACGCAGTTTGACAGTCAAAGTCTAAGAAAAATAGCCTTATTTCGAATGATCTTTGATGCAAAAGTGCACCGCAATTTTTTGTCTTACTAGTTAGCGTGACAGTAGTAGAACATAAAATAATGGTTAGTGCCGTAGCTCATTCATTTTACAAAAAGTAGTAAATAGATATTTTTCTCGAATTCTAGAGGACCTTCAATTTTAATCCCCAAATACGAAGAAAAGAAAAAAAATTCTCCCAAAAATAAAAAACACGTGATTTGCAAAGAGATTCTGTTATCCTGAAAATGTCAACAAATTGAAAAATTTCAAGCATCCAACCTAGAGCTCTAAACAAAAAATTACGAACTCAAAAAATGGTAGCGACTTCCTGATAGCACAGTTGTTGCAGACTTGTTGGTTTAATATATTATTTTAGAAAGAACTCGGTTAATTTGATTTGAATCTCTTTTCGGGATTTTAAAAACTGTGTAAAGTCTGCAATAATAATTTTCGAGAAAATGAGCGACAGGGTGACTGAAAATAGGCATGCGACCGGCAAAGGATTAATTTTAACTTTCCAGTGAGAGCTTCAAGAAGTTCTTTGACGTTATGCATTTTGTTATTATTTAGTCATTTATGCTACCTTTTTTTTTTCTTTTTCTTTTTTTTTCTTTTTTCAGTGTATGTAAGTATTTCAGTTTGAAGTCGACTAGACCTTAGACTCTACTTTATATTTATTTTTATATCAATCAATTTGCAAAATTTATACTTTAAAATTTCAAGAATTGGTGACATTTTCTGGAGATGGGTCCGTAAAGTCTCTTGCTAGGGCTTTTAGTAATTATCTCTTCCTGTTATTTTCAAAAAGTCCTCGGGTATCTCAACATTGTGGACTTCTAGGGTAGATTAAAGGAAATGGTAGGCAATCCAGACCAAATTTTTCATTCAGTAAACTGATCGTAAACTTGGTTCCAGATAGAACACCGAAGTCCAGAATCACTGGCTGCGGTCAGTGTGAGAGTGAATGACCAGTTGGATTAGCCAGCGAAGAGACTGGGGGTGTACGGCATCGGTTCTCATTAAATTGTTCTAACTCAACTTGCTCGACTTCGCACGCAGGCTATCGGGCTATCAAAGCGGGGAACCAAACCCCCCTCTGCAGAGGATCAAAAGTGTGATGGATGAAGGATGTCTGCAAATCATCCTCAGGGGTGTTTTCTAGATTATCGCCAATAGTCCATTATGCAGCAATAATGCGACTTAAAGGAAGTACTGTCCCTAATAGACCCATCGCGTAGCGATATTATTTTACTCCTGAACGCCTAAACCAGACCAAATAGCGTTATTTATTATCTTCGATTAAAGCTAAAAGCTAAGTTTTTCTTTATAGTATTAATTTCTACTAATTTCTTATAGAGCTACAAGCTAACATTTCCTTAACAGAATAAAAGTTTCGAAATTTAGCAAGTATCATCACATAGCGCGAGTGTTTTCAAAGCGAACTTTTGTTTCCCCGATTTTTTATTTCTTTAAATGATTTAAAGAAACCTCTCTCTTGATAATAAACTCTTTTTTAAAACTGCTTATTTATCTTTATCAACCATGAAATATTTCGCATCTTTGGATTGTTCCATTAGTTCCCCAAATCATAGCAATACTTTGCTAACTCTAAATTTGTCACTTCTTCTGCTCATTACTAACTATATCGGAATTAAGAGGAAGAAAAAATTATTATAGTTTTTAACAAATTTTTTTTCTCATAATCTCCAAAATGTTCCAGAAAATATGTTATCTCAAAACATTGACGGTTTAAATGAGTCTCTGTTTTATATTTTGTCTTAAAGGATCATTTGTTTCATCATAAAACACATTCTAGAAAATAAAATAAATTTTAACTAAATTCTTATCAATATAAGAATTGAGCTATCAGATTTTATGCTGGAGAATCTAAATTGAATGGACATTCAAATCGTGGCTTAGCTGAATGTTCAAAATTTTTGTTATTTTATCACTTACAGTGAAAAATGCTGTCTCGATATTTTCGTATCGTGATCTACGCCACAATAATTGCCTAGTTGGGCAGTGAAACGTGAGAAACTAAATCGCAGAAGAGTATAACTGATAGTCAAGTTTAAAATCCATTTGGCCAAGCTGGCCTGAACAAGTCTGAATAAGGTAGTCAATTGTTGCCAAATAAATTTATTATATGTTCTATTTTGATCAGTGAACAAAATCATTAATTATATAACAAAATTATTCATAATACAAAGATTGTTCTGGTAATGTTGGAATAAAGACAGAAATTAGATTTTTAAAATCAAGGTAAAAGTGCAGTTAAAATAAATTCTTTGGTTGTTTTCCTACATTAGTTAACATGCTGTAAATTGACATATTATCTGAATAAATATTGTATTTAAAAAAAATTAATTTTCTAATATTTGGTGAAGAATTTTAAATATTATTCTCTGAAATATTTTAGATTGGTATACACCTAGGCAACATTGAGAATTTGGCTTAAAATTTGAAGGTTTTGCTATGTAGCTTTTGTTATTGCTATAATTTTTGGTCTTTCACATAGGCTTTGCAGGTTTCTAATTCTATAGAGGGTGATATTAAAATACGCAGTCATAATTATTCTCTAATTTTCACATTTAAAAAAAATTTCTTTTATCTGCAGAAGATTAATTATTTTTATCTCTTTCTTATTTTTCACAAAGATGAATTTAAATAGACTATAATAATATGAAAATTTTCTTTATTTGTCTGAAATTTTAAGGGGGACTTTTAGAGATTTATTTTGAGGGATACCTACCACCTCTCTCCCCACTAAGAACATCCATGGTCTATAAGCTTAGAGCTGTTGATTATATGATTGAAAAAACTGCAAGTGCAACTAATTAAAAAAAAATTAATAGCTATAAAAGCAGAAATAAAGTTATAAAATAAATACGAATTAATTTAAAAACAAGATAATTTTAAAAATTTTATTAGCATTTTTTAAAAAAAAATTCTAAAAAATTAAACTTTTTTTAAATTATTAATATGTTTTAAAGTCTTTATCATGCTTTCATATTTGAAAAGTTTTTTTAAGAAGAAAAACAAACATTTACTTTTCAGATAATTCTTTGCCAAACAATAGTAGCGTTTAGCTTACATTGGTTTATTCAATGAAGCTCTTCATGACTCATTACATTGGTAAGATAATTTTTGCTCTTTTTACATAAAAAAGTTTTTTTTTAAAAATTTGTATGATTATAACGAATTACTAATTAATTTGTTTTTTTAAATCTTTTGATGCATTTATAACTTAAAATAAGCCTGTTAGTTCAAAGTTTTTTTTTAGTTTTCAAAACATTTCTTTTTAAATTTTTCTCTAATGTGTACAATAAAAATTTATATTCTATTACAAACTAGTAAATTTTGGTTATCTTTGCATACATATAGAGATATATGTGACATACAGGTAGAATAAATTTTGATGCAATAATGCCCAAAATATATAGTAAAAATATGCTCTGTTAGTAATGATTTTATAAAGTCTTGGTTTATATAGTTTTTTTCATTAGTTGCTTCAATCATTTTCATGCATTTGTATTTTTCTATATATTTTTATGTAGTGCTGCGTAATTTCATGCATTACTTTGTGTTTTTCCTTTTGCTATTGTTGGTTCTTTCATTCTGAAATATTTTGTGGCATAATATAAAAGTAGAATTATATCTTATGAGTAGCAACAAAAAAATTTAATAATTACAAATATATTCTAGGTATTTAGTATTTATTAAAAGTAATTAACTCTTTGTAGCTAAGTTATTACCTTTTTTTTAAAAAAAAAAATATTTTTTATTTAAAAACAATTATTAATAAAACCTTTAATGTAGGTAGATATCAAATTATGTATAAACTTATTTACAGCACATGCAATTTTCCTTTACGTCCTTGATTATCATTGCACTTGTGATCCCATAAAATAATGGGTGTGTTGAAGAATATTATTAAAATTGAAAATGTTTTAACGAAATATTCCCTATCCTCCATTATACATAAATAACCCGTTGCTTACTCCGGCTAGCATGATGAAGCCTGTCATTCTAGTCTGCTTGTTGTACCATCCCTAAGCAAAAGGATAATTAAAATTCTGACGTTATGAAATTCTTGAAAGCAATATTAAATTAAAATTGTGATATGTCTAAATAACTTTCCATTTGTAGTTAAAATAATTATTAATTTAAAATATACGACTCTTTTATGATACACTATGCCAGTGGTCGGCAAACTTTTTAGCCAAATATGAACATTACAACAATTTTTAAAAAAATTGGGAGCCAAATCTCCTTGTTTAGTAAACTTTTATTACACTAAATAAGTAGTACACTAAATAAAACTAAATTTCATACTTAATAAATATTTATTAATGCGANATATACGACTCTTTTACGATACACTATGCTATTGATTTCATTCAACTTCCAAAGTTGGATAATAACACAAAGTACAATATATAAATCACATTCATGATGTGTGATTTTAAAATTTTGTGGACATGAATTGTAACATATATCGTCAGTAAATAAAAAATAAATCAAGAACAGTGTATCTCTTAAATCAAGACTATGAATGGCTATGAATATTGAGCAATAGCAATGATTTATTTTATTTAAATAAGTTTATTTTACAATATATTCAATTAATTTTAACAAAATGTTTTTTCAGAAGTTCCTTATCCGTATGATGAAATGCAAGATTGTACATAATGAAGGTGTGTATTAGAAATGCTCTGAGCTTCCAAATGTTTCCCAATTTGCTTTTTTAAATTTCAGCTGTTAGCTGTATCAATTCAATATTACTTTTCAAATTAAAAAAGTTTACTTTTTTAATGTATTTATATTAAATATATTATGTAACCACATCAAAGATGTCTAATTTTTTAAGTTAAATCAAAGTATTTATTATTAAGTTCATGAAATTAGATTAAAAATGTTCCTTGGACTTAATAAGATTACTTAAAATTGGTAGCATGGTTAAAAAGAAATGGAAGAAAGTGTAAGTGAAGTTAATTTTAGTTACTAAGTTCAACTATCCATAAGATGAAATAATAAGATATAATTAGGAACAGAATAGCCCAGTTGGTAGGGTGCTGTACTCTCGTTCATAAGAACGTGAGTTCGAATCCAGCCGGCCGAAGACTCCCCGTGTAGTAAATTATGACTGGTGCGCGTTAAATCTCTGGTTACAAAGTCCTCTCTGCTCCGATAACAAATTATACCTCTTGGGGTACTGGATTGTAGATTGATCTAGTTTGAGTCAAAATCGTGATCTGTGGATGAATGAATAGGTCCGCCATATAAACGGATGTGACATGTGTGTGACTGAAATCTAATTCTTTGCCATAAATGGTGCAACTGGAAAACAAGAGCAATCGCACCCCATTGCCTAAATGGCCTACGTCAACAACAACATTTTTTTTCCTATTCGGTAGCAACAAACTGTTCGAAAACTTGTATTTCCTCCCTTTACCCCGTAGCGAACTTGACACAATTCTTTGGTTCAACATCTAAAGGATACAAGGCAAACAATTTTTAATGAAGTACCCACTTAATATTATTTTTGTTTTGCTCTTCAATTAAATGTCACTGATTTTATGGTAATTAGTATTATATACTGCAATGAAAACATTTTTTTTTCTCCAATATCATCTATAGTTCTCTCCCTTAGAATTTTTTTATGAATCTTTTATTTACTCCTTCATACATGGAAACATATTTTAATAAGGAAACGTTAACCTTTGATTTCAAACACATCTACAGGGGTCTGTCTAGGCCGAATTTACTACCGTTTAGCGGTACCTTCAAAAATTCAATTTTAGGTAAAATGGCAGTTTCACAAATTCAACTTAAGGAAAAACGGTTCATAAAATACTTTTTTTTTTAAATTTTATTTTTGTATCCCAGAAACAATAAATCTTTATTTTACCGTGTTTTTGTATTGATTTTTTTATATAATTTTTAATTTTTCACAAATTATGTCAAAATTTTCACAAATTAGGTACCTTTCAGAAAAACCTAGACAGGCCCTTGATCTATTTGTTTTTAGTCATAACCACAAAGTAGGGTGTATATGACTTTGGGCATTGCAACGGAAAATAAAATCCTATTTAAATAATTGATGTGATGATTTGTTTTATAAAATGTTTTCTAATGTTAAAGACAATATGAAAACTTATATTTTTATTATATGAAAACGTCAACATACTCCTTTTTTTTTTAAATAATCCTTTTTTTTAGTGAAATAGTTATAGATCGATAAAAAAAATGTAGTCTTTTTTCTTCCTATCTGTGAAGCTATGTGTAAGAAAATGTTTAGGTGTAAAAATATTAACTTTTTCAAATAAATTCTATGACTACAAAGCACCCATTTCACCTTACTTCTTCCTAATTTTTGTTTATGCACCAGACACTTTCGAGCAAGGTTTGATTTTGTTATCTTAAGTATGTATTATAGTAAATATTTTTTTTAAAAAAGAAAAAAAAACATTGAGTTTAGTGCACTAAAATCTCATTTAGCAGTATATATGCTATTTGAACTATAAACATAATCCAGTCACTTTTCTGAAACTATTGTGTTAACTTTTAATAGTTACATCTAACCAGATTCCACGCAATTTTGTTTAGTGATTGAAAGAAATTATATCAAAATATTATTTGTAAAAAATTTAATTTCTAGTTTATGCTTTCGAAATACATTTATTTTAGATAGAGATTTATTTTGATTTTGAAAAATTTTGTCTGTTTTTTACCTTTCACATCTATGCTTGTTTTCTTTGTATCTAATAATGAATTTTGAATTTTATTCCTTTAGGATTTTTATTAGTATTACTGCTGATATCAATAATTACAGTGATCAATTGTTCATACTTATCATCTTATTCAAGTATTCAAGGTAATTCTCAAAAGTATTTTCTGAAATGTATAAATCTAAAATTTGGTTAAGAAGATTCTTGTTTCTGAAATTTTCTGTTTTAACCCTTTGCCTAAGAAATACAACTCTATATTTAGTTATAAACTTCTCCAAGAAGGTTTTTTTCTGTTTTGTTTAAATTAAATGATGGCACTAATGAGTTCATTGTGCTTTTTTGATCACCGGTGTAAAACATGACAAATTTTTATCACCAAATTATGCACAGTAAAAACTTTATTGTTTTGTTATGTATAGTTTTATATTTTTTTAAATGTTAGATCCTTTTTTTCTTATCCCTTTAAATATCACTCATGTTTCATTAATGTATTTGGTTGTAAAAAATTTGTATGTACAAAATGTTTAGAATCTAAATTTATAAATTGTAATTTTGTTTTTCTATAGCATTAAACTTTTAGTAACCTCTGTTTGTATTTTGACCCTTGCCTAAGAAAAACTATGTCTAATTATAAAGGATCTGGGGCAAAATGGTTTTCTTTTCTGTTTTGTTATGTTTTATACCTTTTCAAATAAATAGTTTAAATGATGGGGGCACTGATTAATAAGTTTAATGTGCTTTTCCAACTACTGGTCTGAAACATGACCAATTTGCATATCCAAATTATATGCAGCAAAAACTTGATTGTTTTGTTATGTATAATTTCATATTTTAAAATGTTAACATCTTTTTTCTTCCACTCATCACTTTGAATATCAATCATGCCTCATTAATATATTGGGTTGTTAAAAATTTGTTTGTACAAAATGTTTGAAATCTAAATTTATAAATTGTAAATTTGTTCTTTTATAGAATTGTGCTCCAGTAACAGGTATATCTACATTATTAAACCTGATGAACCACAAGAATTAAGACTGACTTACAACACAACTGCCAAAGAAATAGACAAGTGGTATCGAAAATCTAAGCGCAAATGCCGAATAGAACTCAAAACTATAAATGGCGCTTACCACTTTGCTCTCCATATGTCAAACATGTCAATACCATCATGCTCTGAGAAATGCCAGTAAGTTTTTTCTTCCTATCTTTTCAAACTAAATTTCAAAAAAGGAATATCTGTATTTTTTTATTTGAATGCTAGTTTTCTTTTAATTAAAATTGTTCATGTAACATTATTAAAAATTAGTTTAAAAAATTAAACCTATTTCTGTCATTTAAACTGTTATACTTAAATTATTAACAACTAAAGTGCTATGTTAAAAATATAGAATGGACTTAGTGATAGGATTGTAATCATAATTCATCCTTTTTTTTTTTTGTTTTTTGGAAATAATTTAGTTTGAAAATGCAGTGAAACCTCCAGGAAAGACAACCTCTATGTAACGACACTTCTGGAAGGCCCAGAATTTTTTTCCGTAGATTTTGTGTTGAAGAAAGCCTTTAGGGGAGACCATTAAAACCTTTCCCGTCTACTGGACAAACATCTGCACCAAATTTGGAAACGGTCAAATGTGGAAACACAAAAAAATATCAAAACAAAAAATTTAACAAAGCAAATAAGTAGATTAAAATGTATTCAAAATATTTGTATGAGGCTCGAGAGATCTTTGTGATGATACAACCTCATATTGCAGTCGGAGTGCAGTATAGATGAAGCAATCAATGATTTACTTTTAGGGTTGAAAGTTAAATTAGAAAAACAAAAATTATTTTAGAAAAATAAGTATCTCAAACCTCTTATCTTTTAATGCTAACTAATTTTTATGATACAAAATTAAATGCCAACTTAAACAAAAAACATAATTGTTTATTTATTTAAAATAGCTTTATCATTCATAATTACATCTATCAGTTATAATTTTTTTAGACGCTAAATTTTATTCATAGATCTGTCTTTTCGTGATGCCAAAGGAAGTGGCACTTCCGACCAAGAAATTGACTCTGACTTAAATGAAAAGTGTTCGTGAAAAATCATGTACCTTCGAAAGCAATTTTGAAATCAGTGGAGGTAACCTCTAAGAACGACCATTTTACTGTAGAACAGAGAGTGGTTGCTCCTGAGAGGTTTTTCTGTACATGTATAACTATTGCTTAAGAATAAAAAACTAATAATTTTTAATATGCTCCTGAGAAATATAATTTACATTCTATTGTTTTTACGGATGAATCTTAAATTAGGATTTAAAGTTACTGAACATTTAAGGAATGTCACATATATATTTATAAAATATTTTTAAATATCGCCCTTTAAACAAGTAGCATGTGTATACCTGCTGAATCCCATCACTGAAGGTAACGATAGCATCTGCCAACTCAAAAGTCTAGTACAGTGCAGAACCCGTTATCCGGAAATCAGAAAACCGGAAAACCAAAAAACCGGAACGAAATTCAATAAATTTTCCCGCCATTTAAAAAAAAAAAATTTTTTTTTCCTCATAAGATTTTAGGATTTTTCGTTCTTTTTTGAAAGATGTTTACCTTACCATCATTTTGGAAATAATCATTAGTGTATTACTCCATCGTTTTTTCTTCTTTTTAAGATTATTTCCAAAAAAAATTTTTTTAGTTGGGTTTATTTCCAAAAAAAAATTTTTTTTAGTTGGGTTTAACATTAAAAAAACGGCTTTTTGTAGCGATTCAGAAAACCGGGAAAATCAGTTATCCGGAATAGCGATGGTCCCGATCGTTCCGGATAATCGGTTCCCTACTGTATTTGGAGAAGTTCCTATGATAACAGAGCAAACCACAAAATTAATCTATTTAAAAAAAAATAGACATTAATCACAACTTCCTAACCACAAAATAAAAATCACTTTTAATTATAATATTTTTTTGCATGCATTAACTGCATAAAATATTTGACTTTTCAAAGAATTTCTAATGTTTTTTATTACTAGTATGAAAAATTTCAAGAACTGGTTCTCAGAACTTTCAAGATTTTTAGATTCTTTATCTACTCACCACCTGAATTCTCTCTCAGATTTTACTACACTTCATCATTCTAATGTGAAATACTTTGATTTAAAACGTTGATATTTTATTATATGCTTTAAAAGTCTGGAATCTATTCAATATTCTAATTATCTTTTGACGTTTTGCTGTAAGAAATTTCAACTTCCTATTTATAAAAGATTTTCACATTTCATAAGATTTTGATAAACATAAATTTATTTTTCAAATATAGGTGTAATTATTTTGAAATAGCTGAACCAGGTAATACAGAAAAATTTTGTGGAGAAAATAAAGAAAACATCTATTTTGAATCAAGAAGCAACTACCTAGCCATAGACTTTCACCATGAGAATTCCATGGCCTTTGGAGTTGTAATATTATTCTCGGTAAAAAGTAAGCTATAATTTTGATCTCTCCATATTAATGATTAAGCTTTAACAGTGCATTCATGCCATGAATTGATTGTAAATGCATGTCATTCAGCATTGAGGTTTGAATACATTTTAATCATGTTGCTGATTAGGGCTAAATATTTTCTAATAGTTTATTAGTAAAATACTAAGATGAAGAATTTTAAGATTTCTTGTAACTTAAAAAAACATGTTTGAAAATCAAAAAATATTTCAGCAAAATTATGAATGTTTTTATATTTGCTTGCGTAAATGTAACTTGCTAGGGAAATATATTTACTTCTACAAAACTGACTCTCTACATTACTGCATGTTTGCTAATAAAGGTTACACCATGGGAATAAATTAATTTTTGCAAAGATCTTTGTATGTTAATCATAAAAATTGCAACAAATGAAGAAAAAGGTTTTCATGTTCAATTATTATGCACTCCTTTATTTACTGTGTTTGTTTTTTTCTTTATCAAAATATTTTCTTTAATTATATAATAGCTTAACACATTTTTGAGATTCAATAAAAACATTGAAACCATCTTTTTTGAAATCGTTAAACACATTAAAATATTTTTAGTTAGGTTTATCAAATCTAGTTTAAATTTTCATAAGATATCAGCACTAAAAATTTATACTTTTCTTATTGAATTAGCATAAAACTTGTGGCATATCCATGCATAACCCTTAAGAGATTAATTTACTACATTAATGACCACAAATGATACAAAAATGATAAAACAATAAGTTTTTACGTTGACTCAATTTTTGATTAAGGGTAACAACCATTCTATACCAAGTATATTTATAATAATTTTATAATCTAAATAAGTTTTTCGGTGCAGAATTCTTGTGATGCAAATTTGGTTACAATTTAAAATGGAATTTAACTTTTTTACAGTGGAGCTATTAACTTGTAACAGTGTTTGCTCATTGACTAATATAAACTAACAGAAAAATAGTTTGTTATTCGAGAAAACAACAAGATTTTACCGAAATTGCTTATTCCATCTACAATTAAAAATATTAAGAAATACGAATGTTTTATTGAACCTCAAGAGACACATCCTTTTTCTTAATAAATATTTAACAAAAATATTTTTTCCCTCTTTAATCTAATGTTTGAAAAATACAAAATGGTAAAAAAAAAATTTTCCATAAACTATGTTATTATATAGATTTTTCATTTATAGATTTTTATGAATGCTAGTAAGTTTTATAATTGTTTTGATCATTTATATTTTAAATTTTATATTTTTTTACAGGAAATAATTACATTATTACAGGTCTGCCTAATGAACCATTCCACTCAGGACATTTCATAGAAACTCCATATTTTCCTAATTCATATTCTGCAGACTATCAATCTGAATACACATTTCATACGGATGACCCAGATGGTCGTGCAATGTTATTGTTTTTGGATTTTCAAATTTCTTTTTCTTCATATATTGAGGTAAGTTTTGCATATAATTCAACATATGTTGTGACTTAGTTTAGCTTATTTTGAGAATAATCAATTAATTCAAAATTTTATCTGTATGAGTAACCATAACCTGTATGAATAACCAAATTTTATCTGTATGAATAACCATTTTTCATTTTCTTACTACGTTGAGAATAATCAATTAATTCAAAATTTTATCTGTATGAATAACCATAACCTGTATGAATAACCAAATTTTATCTACATGAATAACCATTTTTCATTTTCTTACTTATATTTGTTTTTATCTTTCATATTTTCAATAAGTTTTCCGGTTAAATATAAATTAATTTTTTTTTCCTGTTTAAAATATGGAGGGTTGAAACTACCTTAATAAGTAATTATCCATAGGTAATAATCAGTAACTGAAGGAAATAGCTAATTAAGAATAACAACAGTTTTTATAGAAAACAAAAATAACAAAACAAAAACAGTTAATTAAATGATTCTGAATGAATCATGATATTCCAAAATATGGTTAGAATTGACCATAAAACAATATTTGATTAATCAAAGTTTATAAATGAGGAGTAAGATAGCAAAATGAAAATTGGCTCGGGATACTCGAATGCCAGTACCAACGCAGCTCAAAATTGACAACAACATGTTATCCTATTTAATGTTCTGCCCCAATTTACATCTTTGATTTAAGAATGAAAATTTTTTAATAAATTAGCTATTTGATTTTTTTTCTTTCAATTACTGCAATTATTTTTCTTTTGCTTCTTCAAACTGTTTGTTAATAAAATAGAACAATTATAAAGATCTTCCACTATTACATCACTGCCTATTTTTCAAAGTTTCTCTTTGCTTTAGTAAAGTTCTTTAGAAACTCCAAAAGGGAAGGTCCCTGAAGATTTGAAGAGTGAATGCTATATAAGTGTCTCTCTCATATCTTTACTAACTCCTGTTCATTTCCTTTTTAATTAATTCTGTTATGGTTTAATTAATTCTGTCTAGGTTTTTAATTTGTTGGAAATTATTTTTGCAGTAATTATAGCAAATAAAACTATTTCATATTTATTCTTATGTTAGTGTAAAAATATTAATGGTTTACATCAATCACTTAAATATGTATTATATTCAATATATAAATATATTTAGGAGCATGAAAAATTAAGAGATTAAAATATTTAAAACAAATTGTAGTTAATTACTTTAGGGGATGAGTTTTTTTTTAGCTTATCATTTCACATAAAGTGATTCAGAATTTTCTAGAAATAGCACCCTCTATCTCTGATTTTGATAAAAATTGGTACAATTATATATTTTTGATGCTGATTTCAAAAATATCAGTGTTGAAATTTTTGAAAGGGTTCAAACGTAAGCTTTTATATTTTTGCCAAAATGGGTCTTTTGCTGCCGTTTTGATTTGCACACCAAGATCTATTAATGGCTGTAACTCTTCTTAAATTCCTCTTGGAACAATACTAATTTTTGTTTGGAGTAATCTGTCATTTAAACGTTTTGCACTAATGATAGTTTTGCTTTCTTTCCCATAATCTTAAATATATCTTCTCTTTAAACCCAAAATTTTCACTGCTGTAACCACTCGTTTTGTTTTAGGTAATTGGTCACAATCATACAATACCAGATCGAATTTATGGTGGTGTATTTCGTCCTCCTGTTTTTGTTTCTCAGCAAAATGAATTAACCTTGAAATTTGAAGCAAACTTACAGCCTGGAAATTCTGGTTTCAGAGCAGTGGCGTATTTTATTAAAAGTAAGTTAGCAAGTTTTTTTATAAATCTTTTTTGTCTGCTTGTGTTTTGTGCATCTTGATATTCTTTGGGTGAAAGCACTTTTTTTTTTATTAAGGACATTTTTTGAATAAACACGAAAAGTTGCTTTGCTTTTTCTTGATATTTTACTGTTATTGTAAATTAAGTATAAAAAGATTAACCTTTGTTATAACTCACAATGAGTGTTTCCTCTTGCAAAATCGAGCTAAGTAAAAAAAAAAAACATTTATAAAAGTTAAGATATTTTGTTATTATTAAAAAAAACAATTAGTGTTTAAATCAGGTTTTTTTTAAATTAAATTATCTTGAATTTATGAATTATCTGGCATTGAATGTTACTAAAAGTCATTAAATATTTATATAGATTATTTTAAGAAGCATAAATACACATTTTAATGTAAATCTGTATAATTACATTATAAATAATTTATTACCTAATTTCCAAAAAGAAAATATTAATTCTATATTTGTTTTTTATGCATCAAAAAATTGAGTTAAATATTATAAAAATTTAGTCGTGATAGCACATGGTTAAGGCACTGATCTATCATTGTGTTAAACTAGGGTTCTATTCCCAGTGGTGGCATGAAGCTGGTCTTCTTTAATTTCTATATCTCCAGTTTTGTATCTCAAAATAAAGCCTTAGTTAATATTTGGTAGTGCAATAGGTTTTGTCGTTAGATGCGCATCAAAGATAAGCCAGGCTAGTATTTATAATCAGAATTGTTTAAATTATCTTTAAATAACCTTTTAAGTGCAATATTGATAACTTTCTAATCGATAATCAGATTTTAAAACTTCATTTGTGTTATTTATTGCAGGTTACTCATTGCCAACTTAATAAGTAAACCTAAATTAGAATCCTGTGTGTTCATTCAATTATTTTTCCCCTCTAGGTTATTTAAGCTAATTATTGGTTAAATAACCAGAAAATATTGAAAATTATTCATATTTTTAAACAAGTGATACACAATGCCCATATTTTAAATAAATCTCATTTATTAAATTTATTATTGTACTCATATTTCATTCTTGTTTATTTAAAATCTTGTTTATTGAAATTCAATTTTTTGTGTAATTGTAGGTTCAGATGTAAAAGCATCAAAGCCATTTACAGGTATGTGACTCTTATTTCTGATTAAAATTATGTTTACAGTCGTATATTATCTTCTTTCATCGAAAATTATCAAACTGTTGAATAATTTTTTTAATCAAAAGCAAAATTAGAATTTAGACAAAATATGTAAAATTATGATGTGTTAATTTTCTCAGTGATGTATATTAAGAAATGCAAACTACTATGGGCTTAATTTCAAAGAATTTTAATACTTGCTCCAAAATTTTGTAAGTCTGATTTCTCAAATTTTTTCACTAACCCCTCATTTACTGATAAATATTAAGTATATGTAGTAAAACAGTATGGACAAATTGGGATAAAATGCAAGCTCTAGTTACGGGTGAAAGTTCAAAGATTTTATTTAGTCATATTTGAAGATTAGGTGAGCATCAAATTCACACTAAAATCGATGCGCTTTTTATGTTAGAGAAAAGTTTTCTCCATCATTTAAGTCACATGCTAAAAAAGAATAAACTCATGTGCCAAATTATAATAGGTTGACAAATTAGGTTGCTAAATTTTTCAGGATATCCCTCTTCTTTGAGGGAAAACTTATATTAGTGAAGGTCTGCATCTTTTTATCTATTTTTAAAACAGGATGTGGTTTACTAATTACATGAAAAAGTCTTGTTTGGAATAATCAATTAAGAAAGCAAATTTAACAAAGAAATAGTATTAAAAGATTTGTTAAATTCATATTATATATATATATATATATATTTCAGTTAGTGAACCATCTTCTATTTTTAAGTACCTAACTTACAATTAGGAAGCAAACCTTTGTTGTATTTGTACTAGTTTAAATTTTTTTTATTTTTTAATAAAACTGAATGAACTTTTTCTGAAGTTTTAAATCTTTTAAACAACTATTTCAAAATTAATTGGCTGAAAGAAAATAGAATTTCAATTTATGTGTTACTTTTATATTATGTAATACTTTTAATTATGTATTACTGCAGAAAACTATCACTGTTTTATGTGAAAATAGTTATTTGTTGTAATAATGCAATAGAAAAAGAAACTTTGCATGAATGTAGACTACAAAAATATATTGCTATGGGTTAGCATCCATGCATCTTATATTCATGCATGTTAATCTTCCAATTCAGTTATCTAAAACTTACTTCGATCATAATGCGTACAATTAACTTTATTAAAATCGATATTCGACTTAATTTCTTTTATCAAGTAATAAAACATTTTATTGGAACATTTATAAAGCATCAATTTTTTAAAACGTTAATTTTTTTAATGTGGATTAAAGAAAATATAACAGAATTTATTTTCTATCATGTTAGTAAGCTTTTTTTTTCCAATAAAATAAGATTTTAAACAGTTAAAATTGAAAAGGAATATACTCATATTGTAACTGATCAAGAAACTTCAATTAGGTTTTACAGCTAGGCTATTCTATTATCAAACTCTTTTCTTAGGATTATAGCATCATTCCAAAGCTGTAGTGTATATTATTTTCATAGTATATATTGGGTTGTTCGAAAAGTAATTTCGTTTTTTCCTAACAGAGGATTTAATTGTATTTTTTCACTGCCCGCTTCGCACTTAAGCCACATATTTTGACAGCTGATGCAGCAAAGTTTGCTTGTAAGGTAGATTGATTCTATACCGTAGTTTTTTTTTTTTTTTGGAGACCTTTCAAATATGGAGAGTGAAAAGCAGCATTTACATTTTACTTTTTAATTATTGAAAAGGTAAAAATGCTATTCATGTGCATGAAGACATATTGATAGGTCTGTGTCAAAACTGATTAGAAAAATTTCGATCAAGCAATTTTGATGTTGAATATGCACCACTTTCTGAAAGGCCAGTTGAAACTGATGAAGACACAATAAAAACATAGATGTAAACCGTGAACAACAAATCGTGAGATCTGTGAGAGATTAAATTTATTGAATTGGTTTGAATTCAGACCATTTGAAATGTTTAGGGTCTTTCTCAATGTTCTCAACACCCGACCTATAGGTCCTCATATTCTTTCTGAAAGAAATTTATTCAGTTGCATTCACGTGTGTGATTTGCTTTTTAAAGTCTTGAAATTTTTGAATAAAATAATTCATTTTTTAAGTGCATCATCACTGGAGATAAGAAATGAGTTTTCAATAATGCAAGAGATCGTGAAGTATAAAAAAAACTAGCTCAAAGCAAAGGAAGTCAAAAATCATTTCGTTTAGTTTTTTGCCAGTGAGGAACAAACATTTTACAGGAGTGATAACATGCTGCTGTGAGAAAAATGGCTAAACATATTGAACTGGAATGGACAATGTATATTTTAAATAAAATATTTAAAATACATATTATATAATGTTATAATAAAATATTTATTAGCTATAAGAAAAAAATCTTTCATTTTAATTGCTATAAAACGAAATTACTTTCCAAACTACCTGAGGGGCCATTCAACTATTACCCTAAGCACCGAACAGAGGGATGAGGGGGTTTTGATTTGCAAGTTTTTACTGACAGAGAGGGAGCAGGAGCAATGCTTACATAAGACATTAAAATCTTGAAAAACAAACCAAGAAAATTATAGGTGGAAAAAATTTCAAATGTGCATTAAAGTTAAATTCTGGGAAAGAAAAAAAAAATCCTTTAAAGGAGTTTCAGAGGTCAAGAATTTTGAACACAAAAGATTCCTAAGGCATATTTGACTCAAAATTTCATAAAATGATTTAAAATGTAAACTTTGTTTAATGCAAAGTTATTATTTTTCTTTTGAGTTTATATCAAAAACTACCCAAAAACTAATATCAAAAACTACCTACAGTAAAAATCAAAGTGAAAGCAGAAACTAGAGGGGTTGCACTTTTCTTTCATAGGAATGGGTGGGAGGTTAGTGGTTTTCTTACTTTTTGGCATGGGGGAGAGGGGTGTTATATTTCTCAATGTTAGTAATAATAATTTCTAAAATCCAACAGATGGTGCTCTATGCAGTAATGTAAAAGAATTAATTATATTCAGTTTCCACTATGGCACTGTACTATGAATCTTATTCCTTTTTTTTTTTTTTTTTT